CCATCATTTGCAGCTATCCAAAAAAGTAACTGGCGTAATTATTGTTGAAAAACATACTGGTTGAAAGTAAGGGGACTAAATTCCCTGTGAAATTATTCTTTCTGGCAAGCTCTCATTTTGAAGAAATCAATGAAAGAAGGCATTTCCAACGGCGCTTCTTAAGAAGCACCGTAGGAAAATTTAAATTAGATGTTCGTTTTGTTATTCAGCGCAGCGCGCACAAGCATTGGAACGACGCACAGGCGCGCGCGGTTGCTATAATTCGTCGGATCAGTGCGCGACATCGCGTAAAGCTGCAATTCAAAACAATTCGAAACATGATTTAGCAACTTTTGATTTTAAATTGAGATCCTTTAATGCCGTTTTTCTCGGAATATGAAGCTGAAGCTGAGCTGAAACTTCATCAGGTAAGTTGTTCAGTATCCTTCATTAGATTTGGAACTCTTTTGTTGCTTCAAACGAACAAAATGCACTAATTACAAATGACGAACTATAGCTTTAAACGGGAGGTTAAATGTCAAAAAAATATGCATCCTTTTTTTGTTCACGAAAATGGGCCTCTCCGTGCAGCTCTGAAATCGGCAGGCATGTTGCCTCAGTGGGCAGTGCCGACCATACCATTATACCAGTAATACCAGGCAGGTATTAGTGCGGTCATCAAGGCAGTGTGACAAATCTGCAAAAGTTGAACACATATTTCAACACCAGCTGTTTTCACATTACAATTTTGAACCAGCCTTCGCATTATTTTGCCATGCGCCACTTTGTAAAGCCAGCAGTGGATATTGAACAGGTGAACTGGTCCCAGATTGTTTTCAGTATTATACTGGCACGACACTGAACATGGCGACCGTGTATCTCCGGGCGCGGTTCCTTAGTATTAAGGGAACAAAATCCACTTATTTGACCTACCGTACCAAACTAGTTGGCGACATTAAGAACATACAGGTATGTCATAGATAAAGGGCAGGGTTTTGAATTTTTGAGGGACATGTAGGGGTAAAATGACGATGACGAAGATGACCGCGCGATGTACCGTGACTTAACGCGCAAGCACGCTGAATCGCACGGCACCAACTGTAAACTGCATAGGAAAATTGAAAATGTCATTTTTTGAGTAATAAAAAAAGCTCTTGATTCTAATTTGATCGAAACAAAACAGGGGCACTACACGGGTCGTACTAATAAGCATCAACACAGCATCAACACATGGTAGAAGCGTCAACACACCGTCAACACTGCCAAAACACATTCTAAATTGACAACAAAGGCATATAGAACTGTAAACTTTAGACTTTTTTTAGACGTTCAACATATTGATTTTGAGCCAAAATTTTATTTTTGCCCATACTGTACGGTTTGAACACTGGTTTTGTCAATTAAAATGCGTTTTGGAGGTGTTGATGCTGTGTTGACGCTGTGTTGACTCTGTGTTGATGCTTCTGTGTGTGTTGACGCTGTGTTGACACTTATTACTTCACTACTAGATCGCCCTGAACATGCGTGGTGGAAAAAAATGTTGCAACCTGATGCCACCTTTTTCTTCATAATCATATACATGTATCATCTCAATAAAGGACAGGGAAAAATTTCCGTACTGGATCACCACTTTTTCCATTAATTTTCAAGCGCCAAAAGTTGCATCCTTTATGGCTATTCCCTCCACTTTCCCTCCTCTACTCTCGTCTTCTCCTTTCCTTTATTCCTATTTATTAATCAGTCACTTACTTCATCGAGATTCGAACCTTGGACTCTTGCTTGAAACACGAGACTTTTAACCGCTAGGCCGCGCACGATCGCTGTTGCAATGATCAATCTTTGGACGTATTTGAAGTATCCATTGAAATAAACTAAATATTCATGAGAAAATAAATATTCATAATGACATTTGCACTATCATTGGCCGGCTCATGCGTTGTCATGGTTGCTGATGTCATGCGTATCTAACGTACTGCTGTCTTCCAGACACTTCAATCAGTTTTGACCGGCTGCTTCTACTTCTGCACGCCGTGTGCATCCAGAATGTGCTCTAAAAATAGCTTGAGTAACTCCAGCTGACATGCTCCATATTCATTCACATGTAACGCTGGAGGCATAACCTGTTCGTTAGAATGTGGTAGCAAGAGACCCTAAAAAATGGCCTCTCAAAAATTGTTCATTTTCACCTCTAATATCCCACCCCAGAGTTCATTTACATACCTCATACATTCAGCAGTCATTTACGAAGCCTAATGATCGACTTGAAACAGACCACAAAAAAAACCTGTGAAAAATCTTGACGATTTCCGTGGCTTGTCCGTAAAAAAAACCGCCAGTTCAAACGGCTGTCGTCTTGTTTTGCTAATTATGTAAATGTATGCATCATGTGATGACATCCAAACAAATCTGCATGCACGATGTATGTGGGTACCACACCGCTTTCAGGCGCCGCAAGTGAGTTCAATTTTCGTCTGGTGCGTTGTCGCGGAGAGCATTCTCGTTGTCTTGCTTTCCGCGACAACGCACCAGACGAAAATTGAACTCACTTGCGGCACCTGAAAGTGGTGTGGTACCCACATACATTGCGTGCGCAGATTTTTTTCGATGTCATCACGTGATGCATACATTTACATAATTAGCAAAACAAAATGGACGACAGCCGTTGGAACTGGCGTTTTTTTACGGACAAGACACCGAAATCGTCAAGATTTTTCACAGCTTTTTTTTGTGGTCTGTTTCAAGTCGATCATTAGGCTTCGTAAATGACTGCTGAATGTATGAGGTATGTAAATGAACTCTGGGGTGGGATATTAGAGGTGAAAATGGACAATTTTTGAGAGGCCATTTTTTTAGGGTCTCTTGCTACCACATTCTAATGAACAGGTTATGCCTCCAGCGTTACATGTGAATGAATATGGAGCATGTCAGCTGGAGTTACTCAAGCTACTCTAAAAACACATTTTGCCTAATTTTTTTTCGCATTTCCAGAGCTTCCTGGATTCCTCTTGGGTGATATTACAAGGTGAGGTGAAAATTGATTTGTTTGGCAGCAGGTAAACTCACCATTAAGTGGTGAGCCAGTATGGAATTTTTTCTGAAAATTTTCTTTAGTCGTTTTCCTAGTTCCGGATTTTTCCTAGTTCCGGATCGCTTCAAATAAAAACTTTACCTCTTTTTGATTAGTCTCTCATAAAAAAAATCTGACGGAGTGCATGTTGAAAAGGAAAATGTAAGCTTCTTGATACCCAAAGATCTTTCGATAAAACCTTTAGAAAAGGAATTTTGGCCAGATTTCCGACTCGCACTCCGACATGTTTAGACGGTTTGAAGAAAATCAAGGGAGTTGCGAATCGACGATAAATGTTCTCCTCGGTATATCTCTTGTACCGTGTGGCTTCAAATATTTTTTTCATTCACTACAATCGTATAAACTCTTCCATCGAATGTTCAATCAAAATAAGTTGTAGCGTCTCTAATATTTGAAAATTCGCCAACGAATGACGGTATGCTTTTGCCTAGTTCCGGATCGCGCGTGCACTTATGACCCAACTACACGCGCATTAATCGCTTTTGTGTGACGTATTTCTGTGCTGGGTCAAAGATTTTCGGTCCGTGCGTGAGTTTGAGCCGTTGCGCTGCAGACAAAAGTTCCAAATCATTTACGTTTTTTCTCTTTTTAAAATTTGCTGGAATTCTCTTGCATGAACTTTTTGGATAATGAAATAAACCTTGATCAGAAAATATGTTTGATTCGGTTGGTTCTGGCTGAAAAAAAGGATTTTTCGTGTGATTTTTTTTCTTTGCTAAAAGCAGTTTTGATCGATTCGGAACTGATTGAACCGATCCGGAACTAGGAAAAGTGACATCGGCACTTTTGACGTCGTAAAATCAAAATGAAAAGAGCTTAAATTTTGAAGATTATTTCGTGGTCTCTCCATCACTCAAGGTAAACTTTTTAATCAATGTCACTTGAATTCGTGGAGTAGTTAAGCCGAAATCAGCCTGAAAGATGTTTGGGCGGCACAATTGCAGAATACCTCGCCACTTGATCTATCCACCTCGTAGCCGGCTACGAGGTCACGGTTGGTTGACCTCAATAAACATTCTCAGCGCTACTTGTATGTACTATGCGTCATGCTCCATTGCACTCCCACTTCGTAACCACGTAGCCGCCAACAGGGTAGTTGGTTTGGACTTAGAATTTTTTCAGCAACTCCCATTCTTTTTGTGTTGCTTCGTTCTCAAATAATGGACCCCCACTCAGTATCCGCGTAGCTAGCATGGACTTCAATTGGGAAAAATTCTGCCAACCGGACTCCACTTACCTGCCGCCAAACATCCAAATTTTCACCTCACCTTGTGATTTCAACCAAGAGGAACCCAGGAAAGAGTGGACATGCGAAAAAAAATTGGTAAAAATGTGTTTTTGGAGCACATTTTGCATGCACATGTAGTGCAGATCTGAGTTGAAGCAGCCGGTCAAAACTGATTGAAGTGTCTGGAACAGCGGTACGTTGTACGCATGACATCGATAACCATGACGTCGCATGAGACGTCGCATGAGCCGGCCAATGATAGTGCAATACGTCATTATGAATATTTATTTTCTCATGAATATTTAGTTTATTTCAATGAATACTTCAAATACGTCCAAAGATTGATCATTGCAACAGCGATCGTGCGCTGCCTAGCGGTTAAGAGACTCGTGTATCAAGCAAGCGTTCGAGGTTCGAATCTCGAAGAAGTGAGCGACTGATTGATAAATAGAAATTAAGGAAAGGAGGGGGTAAGAGTAGAGGAGGGAAAGTGGAGGGAATAACCATAAAAGAGGTAACTTTTGGCGCTAGAAAATTTATTGAAAAAAGTGGTGTCCGGTTGGCAGAATTTTTCCTGAACGAGCAACTTCACATGTGCACGAATACATGCACGAATACACGTAACACGTTGTCCATATCATTAACACACAACAGATAAGATCATTTTGTACGCACTTTGACATGGCCGCCGGTCCGCTCTTTTTAGATCCGTCATGTTTCTGTCGATTCTTGGGCGGCTTTCGCTTCTTTCTTGCCTGTATCGCCATCACTGCAAAACAAAGGAAAACAAGAACATCAAGTAGTGTTCAATTTATAAAACTCTGAATTTCAATTGTGGAGAATAAGCTGGAAAAAGAGGTACCTTTTCGAGAACTCATGGTGAAAAAACCGGTGAAAGTTCTTGACAATTGACACCCCGATATTACCAACGAGCTCCAAAATGGAGCATGCGTCATGGAAAGCGCCCTCATCGGCATCTTGAAAGTGTAGCTAGGGAAATGGGGATTTTTTTATAAATTCACCTCCAAGTAAAAAAAGAAAGAACAAATTTAAGGATCTAATTTGACTTCATTAAGTTCTCTTATTAGAATTTTCCAATTAGCAAAGCGCTTGGATCCTTACGTGTGGCATTATTTCACACAAAAAAGGGAAAATTGTATAGTGGGGGTTGAGTGAGGGCGGTATTGCGATTTGTGAAGTCCCATAGACATCTTTTAAAAAACCAGTTCAACTCGTAAAGATCATTACCAAAAAAATTCATTTAACTTTTTCCCTCTAAAATGAACGTTTTCAGAAAAAAGTTTGCAATACTTAATGAAACATTCCCCATTTCATTAACAACTTTTATTATATAAGATTTGAGGCTTTGCATGGTGGGGTATCGGTATCGTTTCGGTTTTGCGGTAACACCATGTGGTAATAACTACTGCTTAGAAGATATTAGTTCCGAGAAGAACTTGTCCTGCTTATTCAACTGTTCTAAACAGAACAAAAAACTACTTAGCAAGTTGATAATAAGCAGGACAAGTTCTTCTCAGAACTAATATCTTCTAAGCAGTAGTTATTACCACATGGTGTTACCGCAAAACCGAAACTTTTATTATATCAATATCCCCCAATAATTCTAAATTTTGAGAAAACGTGGCACATTCACATTAAAGTGCCTTACTACCTGAAAAAATTGTAACAGCCAACAAATTTAGAAAGGGTGACCAAATTAATGTACCGAGTGATTTATTCCCCCCCCCCAAAAAATAAAATATAGTCATATAATTATAGTCATTATAATAGTGCCCAATATGATCATATGCAAATATTCAGACTCAAACCCCACAAATTTTGAAACATTATGTCCAACATCACTTTTAGGAAGCTAGCACAACCACATTATTACAACAGTTTCTTCACATCCAAAAGAGTATGTTTAAAAAATGTACTTTCGAGACAACAAAGAGTCCAGAAATAAACTGTTTTTAACAAAACTTTTTCTTCAATATTTTATTTCACCAGCAAACAGAAATCCATTTTATCAGGGGAAGGAGAGGGGATGGAATGAATAAGTACATGTACATGTAAATCACTGTTTTAATTGTTTTCGCGTTAAAAATCAGTTTAATTTTTCATGTTTTATTTTTGATTTATCTTTTCACAATTCATATTTTTTTTTTTCATCACATACATAGCAGTCAAATATCAAGGATTTTTGTTAACTCTTTTCTTTTGTGGGGGGGGGTGTTTAATTTTTAATTTTTTAATCAAAAATTTGTATCCGATTTCTTTCCATAATGGGCAAGTTCATACAACGTACAAAATGTCCGCTACCTACAGAAACCTTTTATTCCGAGTGAAAATGCATTGATATGTGCATACCAGAATGTTATGCAATACAAACTGGTAGCACCCAACCAAGACTGACAGTCAAGCAATAGTTTCCTTATTTATTTCGGCCCTCGCAGTAAGATCTTATAAACTGATCATCAAGCGTCTTGAAGGAACCACAGCCAGTAGACTCTGGTCCCAGAGGGCCAGCCTAGTGTTCTCTTTGCTCCTGACTGACTGACTCACTGACCGACTGTCACTTGTGAAGTAAACTTGCTTCAGTCCCACCTTGGCCCAAATATTTGACTCCAATGACTACCTTGACCCATACTGATCTGGACCAGTTTGACTAGGTTTGTCTCGTCTTTAGCAATAATTCCACCCACTGGAATGGTATTGGCCGTCGTCAGACTATTGCACTTCTATTTGTGTTTTCATTTCTTGTTGGTTGAGTCTTTCTTCTCGCGACGCTTCATGGCCACCGTGCACTGCGGGCAGAACCATTTGCCCTTAGGGGGGTTGGTGATGCCCACGCAGCCGTAATGGAACCACTCAATCGGACACTGCAGAGAAAGAGAAGAAAACCGGTTTGAAAATATTTATATATTTGGACAGGTAATAGGTCTCTCTCATATGACGTCACTTGCTACAGATTGTGACAAGCATCGGCATTTTGGGCGTCACATTTTCATGACACGCATTGCCAGTGCCGTATTTCGAAGATCTTTTGGGCAACATGTGCGGTGTTTAGAACATTTTGCACACTGCGTGCACACGCACCTGATGGCGTTGAACACACAGCTAAAAATGTTTCTATGAAGATGGCTGTCTATGAGAGGGATCTATATGAGTGTCTATTATCTGGTATGAAAGTACATCAAAGACGATCCTTTAACTGGATAAGCAGTTCTGTCTGTGAAGGATAACTGTTTATGACATCAATAAACCCCCCACCCAAAAAAAAAAAATTCAAACAAAGTTATCTTGGCCAATACAAAAAAAGTTCAGGCTTGTGTCTACAACGAACAACCCAAGATATTTACAGCACATGTGACTCCGATACACAGAATGTTGCAAACCTGCCCAAACATAAAGACACTCTACGGACTCTGTACAAAGGTACTTCTGCAGAGTTTTTGCAGGTCTCATAAGGCCAACCTAGTGTTCTCTTTGCATCTATCTCACTGACTGACTGTCACTTGAGACTAAATGTAGACTAGTGAAGAGAGCCGGGCAGTGCTATCGTATAGGATGACTTCTCAACACCAATGAATAAATAGCCCTTCTGAATCCATTGACTAGAATGTTGTGTACTCTGGAACCAGCTTTGTACTCACATTTGAATTGTCGCATCCCACCATTTCCCCGTAAGACACCTGGTTGCACAGGCAGTAGCGAGGTTCATTGGGATCGTAGGTCCATTCAGGCGCTGGCGGGTTGGTGTCATCCAGGATGCTCTCTGTCAGCAGGTCCGCCAGGGGTTGCGTCGTGGCTGTTGTCGGCGCCTGCGGCTGGACGTTTGTCACACTTGGGGTGGAGGCCCTCGAGTTTGTTCTGTGAAGACAAGAAATTTAAGAACATTGTAGTAAAAGATGAACAGCCATTAGTACAGGGAGCTTCTAAGCAGATAATATTACTTAGCAGAAATCGACTGGGAACCAGTCAAATGCATTGCACATAGCATAACATTTTGGCTGGTGACCTCCTTTTGCTAAACAAATATTACTTAGCAGAAATCGACTGGGAACCAGTCAAATGCATTGCACATAGCATCACATTTTGGCTGGTGACCCGTTTTTGCTAAGCAAATATTTTCAGTGCTTAGCGAATTTCTGTGCACAACAGCTCCATTAAAAATGACCCTGCTCTGGTCTCCTTTGACCTTCAAAGTTCACTGACCTTCGACCCCTGTGTCTGCTACTCTCTGTAGTTGTAGGAGTTGTTGATGTAGCTGCCGAGGTGCTGGATGATGATTGGCTGGTATCTCTACTCATGCTTCCCAGTCCGCTGAATCCGCCTGATTTCAAGGCCTCATAGCTGGCTTTCAGGCTGGCTGTTCGCCTACCCTGTTGCATCTGTTAGAAAAGCAGCCAATATTCCATTGATTAAATCCTCTCAAGTTTTAAATAGATTATCTTTCGAGGGATACCCAAGGTCTTCTTAAGATTGTAACATTCCTTTCCAAATGACAGTTTACCGAAGGACCCATGTACTTCTAGCAGATATCTTTTTAAATGAAATACTTAAAGGAATATCCATTCTGCTATTGTCTTTATTCTAAATTTTTATACACTGGCTTACCAGGTTTCAGGGAACTTTTTGATTTTAAAGTACTACAAATTTCCATTTTCACTAGAAAACAGGGATGCCATCTTAGGCAGCAGCTTCAGTTGTTACTGCTTCAGCATCAAATGTTGCCAGATTTAGGTTTTTGTATTGTGTGTGTTTGTTGATTTTAATACAGCAGGCAGTCAATTAGTAACTTTATACACAAGTATTTTCAGTGAGCTGCATATGGAAGCATGATTTGTACATTAAATCCCTAACCTGCTGAGTATGTACGCGGTGACATCACAGCAACCTCATCCTCAGTTTTCAGGAATAGCCTGGAAAATTGCCTTTATTTTACATGTGCACGTTTAAAAAACATGGAATCTGAAACTGGGTGTTTCGTTGTACACATGTACATGAGTTACATTCACCCCGAGGACAGACAGACAAAGGGTGAACAGATTCTTTGTTGTCCTCGATCGTGAGTTTGTGTGCTTAGTCTGTGGAAGAGTGTTGTATTATAGGGCCAGAGGCAAAGACAATGCCTTGTCCTCGAGAGTTTTGTAAAAAAAACGACTGTTATGTTCCTGTCCACTTTTGAGGAATGGACATTTCAACAATTTGTTTTTTAAATTGAACAAAGAAATTGATTTGAGCAGGGTTTTGAACCTGCGACCTCAGTTCCGGAGCTCTAACAACTTAGCTACCCAGCCCTGTGTCGACTGTTCCCCAATTCGTCAATCTCCTTGTTCAAGGGGCGCTAGTCAGAAGCCATAAACCCGTGTATGCCATGCAGCCAGGGATCATGCCCAAAGTCACAATGCAGACCTGGTAAATAGCAAACAGGAATCACTCAGAGAGGATACAGCTTTTTGTTTTAATGGATCTGTTAACCTTCCTACCTGTAGTGTATTAGAGACAGCCTGAGCAGCTGCTAGGGCTATGGCGTTACTGCCGGCGCCAACATGCCCCAGGTTGTAAGACAACGCGGGCTGAGAGGTACCAGACTCTCGGCCTTCTAGGAGGGAGGAACTGCCCTTTGTCGTCAGGCTGCTGGAGCGGAAACTCAGCATATCCTGAGTCATGTCAGACGGGAAGCTGGTCAGGAGTTTCTTCTCAGTCAGGGCTTTCTTGTCGATGTTGTTTTCCATATGGTTTTTCCTCTCTGTTGGGGGGGATACAGAGGCAACAATTGGGGTTAATGCAGTCCAAACATTTCAACATTTTTTCTTACTTAAAGGGCCATGCAATGTATTTTTTTTAATGCAATGCAATTTATTTGTTTAACCCTAACTCCCTATGCATTTTGTTCTAGGATGTAACCTCAATCCTGCAAAATCCTCCCTCCATGTAAAAATAGCATATAGCCTCAATCCCACAAAATCCTCCGTTATTTCTTGAATGTGTTCCTTGGAGGGGTGACCACTGCCTCAATCCTGCAAAATCCCCCGGCAATCACTGTCAATATGTTGAGGCAGAGCCAGTGACATCCTGGAGCAGTGCGCAGGATTTCAAGTATTAAATTTATGCAATGCTGAGCATGAACAACACAAGGTCCGGCCCAAGAACTTAACACAGTGCATCCTCCAAAATCAGCAACGCACTTTTGCCATGTAACCTGAATCCTGCAAATTCCTCCAATTTGCAAAAAGGATTTTGGAGGATTTGGGATGGTTAGGGTTAAAGTCACTCACAGAAGACCGAAAAGTCTAGGTCGACTTACTTTCTCCCCTTGTTGGTGCCTGAAGCTGCTTCGTTGGGATGTCCAGCTCTAATGACCCTGTAACCATCGTAACGAATCATGTTACAAATAAAATTACAATTATGACAATAATCTAAGGGACAGGGCTGACTGTATAGTGATAGGTTATGTTAAATGCATCTAACTTTGTTCAACAAAAATGATACTTTGAGTTTCTAATTCCCTAGGCCCTTTTGGCTTGGAACATCCTCAATCCTGCAAAATCCTCCAATTGCCACCATGTAAAAATTGGATTCAGCCTGAATCCTCCAAATCATCCGTTATTTCTTGAATTTCTTCAGTGGAGGTGTGACCATTGCCTCAATCCTTCCAAATCCTCCAACAATCACTGTAATGGGTCGAGGCAGAGCCGATGACATTCAGAAGCAGTGCAGATGATATCGAGCATAATGCAGGACTGAACATAAACAATGCTGCATACAGCCTACAAACTCAACCAATGCATCCTCCAATACCAACCGACAATTTTTTGCCATTCAGCCTCAATCCTCCAAAATCCTCCAAAACCGCCTGGTTGACTTTGGAGGATTGAGGGTTAGGGTGATGGATTAATACAGAAAAGTTTAATAACAAATTGACCTATATATTCTTGTAAAACTCACTGAAGTAAGAATTTATCATCCAACTGTAACATAACATGGCCTTACTTCTTTCTAAAACTTCGGTGATTCCCGCATTATCTGCTTCGAGTTCCATTTTGAACTTATTCAGTTCCTGGTCTAATTTTCGCAAGTAGCGATCGACCTGTAAAAAAGAAATGGTATCAGGAACAATTTAGATATTACAATATGGAACACTTGGGGTCAGATACGATTGGATATTGACTGTCATCATCATAATCATATCTGAAATATTCCTTTGATGCTAACCATTAACAGAAGAATACATTTAAGCAAACGATCCCGCTAAGCAATTCAACATGTTCCAACTTTAAACATCCATTTTGCCAATTTATTTTGATAGCAAATTCATAAAATGAATGAAAAGTTGCCAGCAGAATCACAAGGAGAAAAAAAGGAAATATCCCCACATTTTTATTTTCTTACCAAATCGTAAACCTGGTTTGCCAGTTGAACCTTCTCATCACAATCTTCCAAAATCTTGTAATAATCCTGCACATAAAAATATACCAAAAAAATAATCTGTATTTAAAAGCAATAACCTTGGTGTTTCAAAGTGTAAACATAAACATGATAAACTTGTTTATCAGTTAAACAAAAATAATATTTGGGGGGTGCTTTTTCTTCTTGAGTTTTTTTTTACTCTCAAGTAAAAATAGTTCAATATCAATTATTATCATTTTATTTTGTTGAAAAATTCTCAACATGCCAACTTCTCATTGAGAGCATTACAAAACATGAAAACCTCATTTTAGTTTTCAACAGAAAGTCACAAATGGTGAACTCCCATGAAATCAAAAGGGCGCCCTCTCTAGTCACCTTTCTGATGGCCTCATAACTCTTTGACTCCGGTTTTGCAGAATTCGTTTTCTTTGCAGCTTCAAAAAACTTGCTTTGTCGCTCGTCCAGGTTGTCCATTGCATCTAAAATGGAAGAGGAAATATCAATTTCATGATTTATTCACAAACAATACCTTTAAAATTCGCACAAGAAACACAAAAAACAAAAATTTGAGGACGTACTTTGTACTTGGAGGTCCATCTCACGCATTTCCGTGAACCGCTCTCGCAGGTCCATCGGTAGCTGCTCGATCACTATCAAAAATAAACGCCAAAAAAGCCATGTTATTTAACTTTGTAGAGAATAAAACTCCAAAGAAGAGATAGTTGACTTCAATTTAATTCAAAAATTAACATAATTCCCTACTTACTCTCCAAATAATCCTCTAAATATAGCATTTTGGGCGATAACTTTTACAGCCAACCGCGAGGAGAAAATATTACATCCCCTAAGCTAATGTAACAGTGCCTGTGATTGGCTGAGGGATTATGATAAAAACTGTCCATTTACTCTTTAAAATTTAGTTTTGAAAACAAGCCAATCTAATTATAACTAAATCAATTTAATAATTGATGTTCAATACGTTTTAGTTGTGTATATTTTGAGTAAATAATTAAAATGCCAGGAAATGACACTGAAATATTATTTTGTCGTGGACCAATTAAGAGGGGTTTTTCGTGCATACACGTACACTGTGGTCTACCATTTTGTTGGCTGGTCCCCGGCTAACTGTCGCAGCGAAAGTGATGCGAGCACGGCGCGGCCGGGGCATGGCAGCCGGGGACGATCGAGCGAAAAAACGGCACTGTCTTCGCCACGCGGCGGTCAGGGCACAGGATGACGCTGTATATATTTCGTTTATGAGGCCCGTGCGTATTTTTTTCGGTTCGAGTTTCACCGAAAAATAGATTTTATTCACAAATTACTGTTTTTCTAACTATACAAACGTTATTTCTCTTTTGGATGAGACATCGAACGAAATAATCCGCCTTTGTAGTTATGGGAATTGGGATAATCACTTCAAATTTTGAATTAATTTGGGGCCAATAATTTCAGATGGCCTACTAAATTTGAACTTAAGAGGCGCACAAGCAACCCAGAACTAGCCCCTTACAGAATTGCAGCACCCCAAACAGACAAACAAAGTAGGTTTTACTTTTATCGTTACATTAAAATATGAAAAGTCTTTAGAGACAAAATAAAATCGTTTGGACAGTATCTTGAAGTTGAAAGGGATGCCAGTGGACCTTGCTGCCTTTTTGTGGTGGTATTTTTGCAAGTTGAGCACGTCATCCCAAATAAATTTCTAAAATCTGAATAAAAGATTAACTGTTCGAGCTAGATCTCATTTTCCGAGGTTATATGGGCTTTTCCATTAATGGAATAACAATTTCAAAATAAATGGGAGTTTCGTTTTAGAGTGCCGTACGTCCCAAACGCACTTTAATTTATTCATTGTTTTATATTTTTTTCAAGTTCGCAAGCAGACGTTAATTGCTTTAATTGGTTTTGCAATTGGTTTTGACAAAAGACATCAATAATAATTTCTCGATTTTGTTGATGTGAGAAAATTAACGACTGATTTAGAAAAAAAGGCATGATGTCATTACAGAAATTACGAGTAGTCACGATGAAAAAATGACATCATGAATAATACTTTTCATGGCCAGTCGTGAAATTTGTCACGACTAGTCGTGAAAAGTTTCACACATTTTTGTGGGTTTTTTTTGTCCCGCATCATGAAATTGTTGTTAATGTTATTTGCACGCGATAACATTAATGACTGGTTTTTAAGGGGGGGGGGGGGGGACGCGAGGTTCTTCGTTGATAATGTTGTCATGATTGAACACCGTCTGTTCCAAGGATGTTTTTAACGCCGGGTCAGTAACTTGATAAATGAAAACTTCAAAATTTCGTTAAGGCCGCTGTTTTCTTTATTTTATGTTTTACGATAAACACGCACGCAATACGTTTATAGGCCTTCAATCCTTTGAAGACTTTTGAAGGTAGATGGGAAAGCGTATAGTTACTGTAGTGTGATGTATTATTTGTTCCGAACAAAAATAATAAGTTTATATAAATTATTTTATTGACAACATGGAGAAAGAAAGCAATCATTTAATTCTGAAAACAATTACCCCAGCTAGACCACTGCATTCCGATAGAAACTGTATTTTTTTTTTTTAAATAATGGATGGTGTATCCTTGTTTGACGTCATGGGACTAGCAAGTGTACAGCTACTCGTTTTTAGATGCGGCACGCCCATGCCGCAGCCGGCTGCGCCTAACTGAACTCGATCTGTCCCACCATGCATAAGGACCGTGATAGACGCTTTGAACACTACTGCAAAGGATAATCCGATGTTTGTTTACTTTTATTGTTTCCGCTAGCGCTCGGACAAAACAACGGGAACTGACCATGTTTGACAACCGATGTAGTGAGTTTATTGCCGGCGAAATATATCGATCAATCGATCGATCAATTACGTTTCACTGGTGACGGTAAACCACGTCGTGTTGTCACATGCAGATATCCATAATCTTCAGCGCGTGTTGAATGAATGAAGTCACAACCTCAGTCCCAGAGTCTACTTCCAACCTTGAAGCAATAGTAGACCCTGGTAGGGTAGGGAACTTACTTAATTCTTGTGTCTGATTCGATCCCGTGATATGATCAACTGACGGTTTTATATCGTGTACTTGGTGGTTTTACTAACGTTCGTTGTGAATTATTACGGCCAATCCTCCTCGAAAACATTCACCCTTTGCATTTTGCTTTTAGTGAAATACTGCATGTTGGATGTTAGGAGCGTACTGCTCCACGCCATGAAGACAAGGTTGGAATGAAGTCACAATTTGATGCACCGGGCACCAGCGATTTCCCTTCAGCACTAGCATGCAGCGCACGCAGCAGCAGCTCCATCGGTACAAGATGGCTGCTGCCAGTAATGCGCCGTCTGGGCCCGGGCTGTCTAGCGTGCAAGGCATGCCAGGACAGGGGCGCGGACCGAACAACGGCGCAGACTGGCGCAAAAACATCGCTTGCAGGTTTGTCCGTCATTTCACCCTCATCTGTGCGGTGTTTGTGACTTTTTTTGTGCGGAAATGGGGTTGGGCGTTGCGATCGCCGGCCGGTGTGTTTTCGTGCGTTGTCGTTGGTAGACGTGTAACATGACATACGCAATGCATGTGATTTGTCATGCGACCAAATGGCATGACTGGTATTTTGTATGCGTGTTACCATACTGTGTATTGTCATTTGTGTAGCAAGTTGTTGTGAAATCGAGATAAAAACAAAATCATTAGTCATGATCATAACGATGTGACCACGATTTGATTGTGGTCTTGACTAGACTTAAACGTTAATGAAAACAATGGAGAAAGAAGTTGAATATTAAATAGCCTAGGGCTAGGCCTACAAGTACAAACATGTGTGGAATTTATTGGCCTTGGCATGGAGGAATAAGGACATATGTGTTCTTCCTCCATGGTCTTGGACACGACACATGTTGGAAGAAAATTTAAAGCTTGTCATTTCTATTTTCTTTTCAAGCCCTTGGAATTTGAAAGATTCCTATATCTGGCCATCACTAATTTTTCCCTACAAGTGATGGCCAGATATGGGAATCTTTCCCAAGCGTTTTTCGCTTAAACTAAGGAAATAAACAACTAAAAACAAAGGGGGGAAGAATGTAGTATCCAGACGCCACTTTAGCGGTTGTATACAAACTCTATGGAGAGTCTACAACATTTTCAAAGTATTTTCTAACAAAATTAGAAATGTTTCTCAGTCCCAGATTCATGTCTTTTCAACATTTTTGCAATGGCTGACCTTCATTGAGATGATATATGACGAAAAAAGTGGTGTCAGGATGCAACATTCTTTGCAGAAAGGGGAGCCTAGAAAATATTTAAAATGTAATCCTGTTTTATTGGTCAATGGACATCACAAATTTTCCCCTGCAGTGACTTATCAGTATCACTATCAGCCATCACAAAGTGATAACATGTCTTAGTAAAGGTCAAATTTAGCAGGGAAAATGTTGAAGCATTTACTGAGAAAACACTTCTTTCCCTCATGTTTTTGTTCTTGTGTTGCTCATCTGGGCTTTTTGAAAAAATGAAGGAGGCAGGCCCCTTTTCTCTTCTTTTTTTCTTAAGGTGGCAGCTTTTCCAAGATGGCAGATTGGTTCTTCCATTTTCTCGACTCTTTTGCTGATACAAAGTTGTGTCCAAAGGAGCCATAACCCTTTCTTAATAGCTACTGTTTTGTTAGTCAAAAAACCCAAATAAACAAACAGTATATTTCTATATTTGTTTATTTGGGTTTTTTGACTAACAAAACAGTATATTTCTACTTCTACTTCGGTAAGGCAAAATAAAAAAAAAAACATGTTTAGCGTCCTGCCTCTTTGACAAAAAGGAAGGAGGAGGCCCTTTTTTTTTTTTTTTTTTTTTTCAAAATGGCCGCCCGACACATTTTTCAAGACAACGCGGCCGGGCTATTTTTCAAGATGGTTACCAGCTTTTTTTCAAAATGGCCGCCACTTGGACTCATTGACTATTTCCACAGCTTTATACACGGTATAAAAGTCTAAAAATATGATTTCTTTCGTCAGAGATCGTTAAAATTTATCAATTTTTGTCTTTTAAAAAAAAAAAAAAAAAAAAAAAAAGGAGGCGGCCTCTAAAAAGGAAGCGGGCGGGGACGCTAAACATGTTTTTTTTTTTACTTCGCCTAATACTGGTCTCATAGCATCACCTACCAATAGATGAAGTTTAACAGCTGTATTTTTTTACTTGGCCTTATATTCAGCTATTCAACATATATATTGAAATAGTGTATTAGATAACGTTGAATTACATGTAAACAAAAATAAAAAGTGTCTCTTAACTACCAAATTACTTACCTGCTAAACTTTTCAAGAAAATAAAAATATATTCCACTTATTTGGGGGGGGGGGGGGATTCACACAAAATCTGTGACCAGATTTACTAGGGTTGCCTAGTCTGGTTTCAACATCTGCAAAAGATGTTAATGATCATCAAACCTCTAAGCTTCTCTATGGAAGAACATAGTTTAAACAATTTCATTTTCTATCTTGCACGCCATGGCAGATATTTCATTCATGGACTCTGCAGGGCAGGGGACAACTGCAGATACGCCCACGACCGGGCAGGCAAACCTTCCACACGTTGCAAGTTCTTCTTACTTGGGACCTGTCGGTATGGCAACCAGTGCAAGTGAGTACATAACCTTACAGGGTTTTGTTTTTGTCTCTGAAACATCTTAGATTAAATCGCTGGATGTGGTTCAGCAATCCAGTGGGTATAAAGAGCTTGTACAGAGCGCCCTCAATATGGACAGGTCATAATTTACTGGTCTGGCACCTAGACTTCTTGAAAACTGGTTCTTAGATTTGGACCTTTTTTTTTGCGCTTCCAGGTTTGACCATGACGTCCCAGGTGCACCCGTCCAGCCCATGAGTATAGCGCCCCCTACCATGATCCCCATGGCCCAGAACATCAGCTGGGGCCAGCCCCCTATCCACCCCATGTACCAGCCCGTCATGGCCGCTGCGTACTACGCTCCTCCCCACATGGTCCAGGTGCCCCAGCGGACCGACATGACTGTGATGCCTGACGGATCCCAGGTGACTGAAGAGAGGAGAGGTTATTGAGTTGCCGCCTGAAGTAGGTTGCGGGAGTTTGATTTGCAACAGGTAAATAGCTTACAAATATGGACTGCTTTTAAGTGGTATAGTAAAACTATATTCTAGAGGGTGATCCCAACAGCATTTTAATTTCCAGAGGTGCAGCCAAAGGAAAATGTAATGCTTCATAGATCACCAAGGGAGGCTAGTCTTACAACAGGTGAATATTTTACAAATATTGACTGCTTGTAAGTGGTATAGTAAAACTACATGTATATTCTAGAGGGTGATCCGTACAGCATTCTATTTTCCAGAGGTGAAGCCAAAGGAAAAATATAATGCTTCATAGGGAGGCTAGTTTTACTGTGTCATTTGTTAAAGCAATTGGTATTTGTTATATAACCCCATACCCACAAATTCTGTTTTAGAGATACCTGATTAGTAAAATCAAACCCAAAGACAACTGTACTTCTATTCCAGTTTAAAATTAGCTGAAAAGCCACTTGAGGGAATTCTTTTATTTCATTTGAATATAATTCCACTAATTTACATGTAAGTGGGGGAGTGTGGCCTGGTGGTTAGGGTTTGTGACTCATGATCAGAGGGTCAGGGGTTGTGTCCTTGGGCAAGCCACTTCATCCCCACTTGCTTCTCTCCACCCCGGAGTGTAAATGGGTATCGGCATTAACAGGGGAGTAACCTGTGATGGACTAGCATCCTGTCCAGGGGAAATACAAATATTCTCGGTCGTTTCATGCCACTGAAACCGGAGATATATGCCGGCTTGATGGGCCACATTTAGCAATTGTTGTCTGCTGTGATGTGAGATATGACGTTTTTAAAACCCGAGCGGCGCATACCAACCGAGGCGCATAGCACCATGGATGCTAATAAGTCAAAAAGATAAATGATTGTAACTTACTGTATGAGAAATAAATTAAATCAATGCAATGTATTACCTTTGATTACTGAAGGCTTTGATGTCCTGCCGGACTTCAGTGATGAGACGGAGGGGTTGACGTTGCAGTTCTCGTTGCGCGAAGCTAGCGCGCTGGCAGGTTCCACACACGTGCGCGCAATGAACGCAGTGCGATATCACTGATCTCCACGTAAAAATGGATGTCAGTGTGTGACATGCATTTTTATTGTCCAGACACGAGGCATTCTAGACCAATAAAATTACAGTATCCAAACACATGATTTAACAAAGTTTCATGACAGACTTTACTTACATGTGGCATATGTGTTTTCCCCTTGCAGATTATTGATGTACATCCATGCACCATAGAGCAGGACCGAAAACACCTCAGATGAGTTCCCAAGTAGAGTATTTGTCATTTTTTTTGTTTAACCACAGAACAAGAAAATCTACAGTTTTCTAATATACTCAGTAAAATTATGTAGTCAACTTGATTATGCATGTGTGTGTGTGTTTGTAGTGACTTGAATTGCTGCAAAACATGAAACTTGCCTGTAACAGACCAAAGTGTAAAGTTTGAAGATCATTTTGTTTTGTACTTGATTGTCAAGAAATAGTCACATTTCTTAAGAAGTGTCCACATTCAATTTTCAGTAGTGATTTCTGAAGGCAGTTTAACAGAAAAGACCCCCCCTCAAAAAAAGGGAATAGGATTAGTTTTGTGTTTTGTAGCATATCTTGAGTCTGTCTTCTATCCTGTTCTTGATGCATTGTATATGTATTACACCAATAACCAGAGAAGTGGTCAAGTGGAACACTTCACTGCAACCATTGCAGTTTACTCCCCAAGCAAGAATGATCGGCCTCGTTTCCTTCCACGAGCCTCTGAGATGGGTCACAGATAGAGGGCGCTTTCCACCTGCCCTCCCATCTGTACGTTTGAAACAAATATGTTGTGATTAACGTTAATTGTAAGTTGGGTTGTTTTTTTAACTGAAGAACCGTACAAGTGCAAGCAATGTTGTAATTTAACTTTTTATGGGGTTATTAAGTAAACTTGACTGATGTACCCAGTTAATCTGAGGTTACTTGGTCAAAAAACACTTTTTCCTGAAATTCTGCTTGATCCCTACTGAAAACGAAGCAGAGTTGAAGAAAAAATATAAATAGATTGAAATGGGGGTTATATCTACGACAGATCGAACTTTTTTTTTTTTACGTCTGTGTACATGTACTTTTAACTCAATTTTGTCTGTCTTTGATCACCTGATTGTTTATCAGAAATAATTTATTACTTTTAGTAAACAGATGGCCAACAGTTGAGGGGATGAAAAAAAAATAATAATAATCGGAGCAGAAGGACACAATAATCTAAAGACTTGGTAATATGCAACCAAAGTTTTTATTATGAATGCAGAACAGAGTAGTGAGAAGAGAATGAAAAAAAATTGAGGAAACTCCTTGCCTTACTATTTACAAACTTTTCTCTAGGGAAAATCAAAGATTTTCACGGGGATGTAAATTTTTCCCATTGATTTTGAATTCAATGGGAAATGCCTTTCTAATATTAGTATGTTTAAAAGATTAACTTTTCTTGCAAGAGCAACAATCTGGGAGTGTCCTGAAAATGAAAATGCATGTTAACACACATTTCTTATAAATTCAGGCACTTTAAAGTTTGACTGGTATCTATCCAATATTTTTAATCCTAACCCCCTAGGGTGATTTACTAGGAACCTTCCTCATCCTTGCAAATCCCAACACCATATGGTAAACTGTGCACATAAACAGTTGGACTCTGTTTATTTGTGGTATGCCTAATCCCACGTAAAGTCAGTTTACTAGTGCAGTACTCATCCTAACAGATTCCAACAAACCCTGATGATGGAGTTTGGCTGGTTGGGGATCGTTAGGGTTAAAGTATAGGAAAAATAATTAGTCAAAAAAAATGTGTTGAAGTTTTATTTCATTTAATAATTTATTTTCAGTTATTTGTTGTTTGAAAATGGCGTGTATTCTTGAAATCAGAATCAGCATTTTTAATATTACACAGCCTGCCGTGTCATAATTGCAAATATTATCATAATTGTTCATACCACAGTCGATTTGACTTTTATACAATCTTGCAAAAATAAACAAAAGAGACTTTTATTTTTTTTTCCTATATGAGTAAATGTTGTCTGACGTCCGTGTGTTTAGGAAGTGCATCCATTTGTAATGTCAGAGGTCAATGTCCGAGGTCAAAGGTTGAGAGATGCAAATATGTACAATTTATTGCATGCAGTGTCAGCCTCCTTTAGGGCGCTTGGCTTTACCAGATTTTAAAGTAGTTTGGTGTTTTACTTTCAGGTACACTAGATCACTGTGTGAGATAACACTAGTAATGAGTATTTTATACCAATGTCTATAATGGAGGACCAGTAGTTGATGTCTGTGATGTTTTGTTCCTTCTTTATCTTGCTGCATAACTGTATGAGTTGATTGTTTAAAGGGATGTACCATCTCATGTGAGGAGTCTTAAGGTCCTAGTCTATGACAGTGTTTTGAGTTTTGTGCCTGGTTGTGTAGGTTAGAGTTTAGATATAGGAGTATGTCGAGTTAGATCAATAATTATATACATATCAGTGGGCAGCTTTCAGTAACAAATACAATGGAGATACTTATCGATGTATATTCATTTATGCAGGGACCTAGTTAAAGTTATTGATTCTGATTGGACATGAGTTGGTCACATGGGTATGCTCAAACAGATGATTGGCTCACCTGATTATGCAGCAGTGATGTAATCGAGTCAGTCACAAGTTACCTAGTCACAAGCTATTGAAACGAACTGTGACAAGTGCATGTCTTTGTTACTGTTCATCCCCTGTTACTTGTGACTGGACTTGTGATTAACCTTAACCTGACTTGTGATGGGCTCGACTACAACACTTATATAATACAGGTTGAAATCACATTAAGCACATTCAAACTTTTATCAACAATACAGTTGTTATTGACATTTTCTTTGAGTTTGGCATCAGTTCACATAGGCACTTCACTAATATGGCCACACTGGCCTGTCCATATTGTGAGTCTGTGCAGCGCCCTCAATGGATAACGCGCAAAGGGGATAGGTGCCTAGATAAAGCAATTAGAGTCAATGTCCTTAGGACAACGACTGTGGTCTGAGGTTTTATTAACTATAATGTGCACTTGATGTATATATAGTTCTTTATGTAAGTCAAGGATATCTATGGAAAAAGCAAAGGCTTTTGTTCATTCATAATAGTCGAAAGATATCTGTGAAGAAATTCACGCGACTGATATCTAGTGACTTAAAATAAGGCAGTGGAACTTTCCAGGATTTTAGCTGTCTCGCGTTTCTGGTGTTGATTTTGAAAAAAAGATTAGAGAGAAAACTCATTTGAGAATAATCAGAATACTGAACAAAGTAACTGCAACAGTACGAGAGTACGTTTTAGAAGATGCAAACAAATGCATTTCAGAAACAAAGGCATGACATTTGGGCAAGGTGTATATAATTTTCATGACACAGGAGAACCAAAGTAACATGGATTTGTAGACAAAATGGGTTATTCTATAAATTGTTTCATTTTTGTTTGGGGGGGGGGGAGAAATGTATTACTGAAGGGCTTGCTAGTTGTTTGCCATGGTCACTTTAATTGATGTACATGTAATAAACTTCCAAACGTGTTCATGCAGAGAGCATTTTCTGCTGTTAGTGCTAATAGACCCTCCCTGCCTGTGAATCAAACTACATATTGACCAATAAGATCACAAATTTTGGTCAGGTAGCCCAATCAAACTTGGTCACATGCACTGTGAGGAATGTACACAAACCAAAGATGGGCGGGGCTAATGCGCGGAGCTTATTAATCTGTTTATTACGGTATTTTGTAAAGATGTTCTTAGTAGTACCGCGTGTTGAGATACAGTGGATAAGATTTCATGTAATTGAATATCGTTTATCCATCTGCATGACTACAAAAGAGGAGCTCATTGAGTAATGCATGAGTACTAAGTTATGGGTGATTCCCTAATGCTAATAGACCAATCCATTTAGCTCCACCCCATCGTGTTTTGACCAGACACAGCTGTGATGAATGTCATGTGTTCACAGTGGGCGGGACCTAATGGATCGGTCCATTTTCCCTGCAGGTAATCGGTAATGGTATGATCTTAGAATTTAAGGATTTAGTTCCAGAAGTATTTTTCTCTGTTCTGAAGTGTCGTGGGACATTATGTAAGTTTTACAGCGCATGTAGAATGTAGGCTGATGTATTTGTGCTGGTCCCAGAGCGCCAGCCTCGTGTCCTCTTTGTAACTATCTCACTGACTGACTGACTATCACTTGTGAGCCGGGCAGTGCTATTGTTTAGGATTGTACCGACCCTCAGCACCGGATAGAAGTTTTACATTCTTCCACGTGGATGTGTACTGCATGGTGTGTGTATGGGATGATGTGCTCTGTAAAGTGGGGAAAAAATCCCTTTGGCCATGTCCATATTTGGCTTTTTGTCTACAATCTCTTTGTTTTTGTGCCATTTGTGTACAAAATTTAGTATCTATAACTGTAGACAAAAAATGCCTGAATTTGGATGTGGCTCTTATTTAGGTCGGGGTTATTCACTGTAATGTAAAAAGCGTAAAATAGTTATTTACAAACTGGTACCACTCTTTGTAACGAACAAGTAAGTCCTCACACTTGAAAAAGCCATTGAAAAATATCATTCTGCAAAACTTCTAATTGCAAGAACTTTTTATTTGAAAGAATTTTTGTTGAAGTTCAGATGTATGAACCCTTTTCATAACAGTGGATGAATCATTTCGAGTTACCTAAATGTTGCCATGGTGTTAGAAGAATGTTTGAAAAATATGTTATAACTTTATCTTCAATGCAAGGGGTCTTTTTAACTAAACACAAAATTGTACATCAAGTCCAGGGATTGGATGTCACCGTAAAGGCAGTTTTTGAGATTCTTTTATTTAAGATTTTTAATTGACATTTTGTTCTTTATTGTGGTTTTGAGTTGTGATGATTTCTTTGTGTGCAGAGCAATAAGATAATTGGAACACGAGTGTCTAATAAGATTGCTCTGCTGTGATTAAGTGAAAGTGCATAATGTTAAATTTATTTCAAATATCTGATCTTTTTCACGTACAGTAGCCACTTGATTTATATTTAGTTTCTAATTTTATATTTTAACCATCTGGTTATTTTGTTACTAGTAAAAACAAATTGTTTCTGTAACCATGGTTACACTGCCTGTATCTAAACCAAAATGTTTATATTAATGTGTGTATTGTAAAGTAGCATAAGTATGAGATTTTGTTTTATTTAAGCGGGGTCGTCCTATAAGATAAGAACCAAATAGTTGGCATGGTGTTTTTTCTTCAATTTTTTTGGGGGAGGAATAAAAGGAAGTGATTGCATATTGTGTCCGTCTACTCTGAAACCTTGTCTGTGCCTCAAGTTATTAATCTGAGTCCTCATTGTGTTATTTCAATGACCACGCCGATATATGAGCCTGATTAACGGTAGAGGATTTCATGCCTTCTATCTTGCTCATTTCATTATTTATTGGAACGGTTAACAGTTCAACTACTTTTTTGGGAAGTATTTTTAAGTTTTATGATGCTATAATTAAAGTCCAACAGTCAGTTCAAACTGAGTTGGAACTGAGGGTAGGCCCACTGATTTTCCATGGCTGTGACAAAACTTTACATAAAATCTTAAACTTTTGTGAAAGGCCCGCCGTCCGGCCGTTTACGCAAAGCAACTCTCCCAAAGAAATACTAAATTGGCCAAATATTTAAGGTCCTGTATGCACAAAACCAATGCATGCAAAGGTTTTGTGCGCAAGTTTTTATTGATATTCCTACAAATCCTTGCTTCCAAACACTTCAGCTGCTCCAATTGGCTGGCTATTTCACTTTCCGTCGTTCCTTTATCTCTACCTAATTGTCGTATCTCCGGGGAAAAAATTGTTGAAAATTAACCTCAAAAAATGAATTAAATATTTTTTTTTTAAAGAACTCATTTAAGTGTTCTTGTCATCTGTATAATTATTTGTAGGTATGTTGCTGTTTTGTTTGTTTATTTGAAACCATTCACCACAAGAATATAACATAAATAGTTAAAAGTCCTACCTTGTTATCAGTTAATTTACAAAAGAAAGTTACTCATAGTTTTTAAACTCCTGCCGCGCCTAGCGTGCGCCTCGTGTGCTGCAGGTGTCGTCTGCTAGATGGCGCGCTTTTGCTTTTCACCAATTCACCAAATAAATACTGACTGACGAGTTTACAAGATGGCCGCTGCGGAGTCGCCAGGTCCGATCACCGACTGGCAGAAAAACATAACCTGCAGGTTCGTTATGGGTGCGATCGCTCAATTGTAGCTGGCAATGGGTAGTCTGATATGTATTGCTGAGGATGATTTCAAGTACAATTTGTGATTAGTGTGGAAAAGGGTCGAAATCACGCACATCATTTTCCAGACCTTGCAAGTTGCATGCAACGTAGTAGGCAGCGTGATTACGTTTATCGTACCCGGGTACCGTACGTATTCAATATGTGCAGTTGGGCCTATCAAATACTGGACTTCCTCCGTATAGCTTGGCCACACGCTGGTGATAGGCTTTGTGCGAGGAAAAGTTGTCTTTGAGGAAATCGGAATTGGGACTGTTTTTTTCTTCACTTACACTAACCGGGGAAATGAATAAAATTAAGGACAAGTGAAGTGTACATGACTGGCCTATCCCTGAGAAAAATACTGCCATCTTTTTTGGATTCATACCAATGGTCATGGATAAACAAGGCAATAAAACTTCAGTGTTTAGGCCTATACGTCGGTGGTTTGATAAACTTCAGCCATACATTTGTAACCTTATTGATTAGGCTTATGTATTACTATTAGGCCCTACAAAGTACAAAAGCGCGATCGTTGGATCTGCGCAATTGGTATAGTCGGACTCCCTATTATCGCGGCATCCCTATTATCGCGGCATGGGAAATTTCTCTTTTTACAGTGTCAAAACTCCTTCAAGTGGCGATTTTTATCCAGTTCACCAGTCATCAAGGATTTTCTACGGAGTTGTATAAAAAGGACGATTAAAAAATGTTGTGTCTTTCGGGACTTTTAACGATTTTAATAAATATTAACGTTTTCCAAAACTTGCAAAATGTTCCCTCACCGTGTCTGCTAAAAGGTACCGTTTATATTTTAACATAAATCTTTAATTGCGCTCTGTCCATGAAAGTTCCATTGTCTGGTTCCCATTCTTCAGCTGCAAATGTAAAATGAAGTCGAACGACGATATTTGCAGCGCGAAATCGTAACAACTTTTACGGGATCAAAATAAGCACCGCGCCTTAGCGAAAATAAAACGGCACACCGTGTAAAGTGAATGGCGCCCTCAATCGCCGATCAGTAGACTTGCCTCAGGGATTTGTGTTCTCCTTTCGGGGGAAGGGCAGGGTCTTAAGAAATCATCCGGCAGACATTTTGTCTTTAATCAACTTGAATGTTACAGGGAAAATATCAGACTTTATTCAGGGGGTGTTTTGATCAAACATAAACTATGAACAAAAAAGTTGGATCATTATAAAAACCGCGATAATAGGGAGTCCACCTCCGTTCGCACACGCCGCGCATGTCTATTTTCACAGGCATCGTACACGGAATAAACCACACTACCCGTCAGATTTTTTTATATTAATTTAAAAAGGAAGACTTATACTACACATAAGACAGGACAATTCTGGAAGGTTAGTGGGCAATCTCTATTCCGAACGAGAAACGTGATAAGTACCGCGATAATACGGCGTTCCATACTAGATCGTGCCATTGGCATTGTCGATCAATCGCGCCCCCATAAGCTGATCACCTTTTCTTTCTAATTCACGGCTCAGGAGGATTGTTTTGAAAAAGGGAAGTAGGCCTAAAGTCTGATATTTTGTACAGGATCGACCGATAATGCAAATCGTTTGTGTATTTCTGCCTGAGCGAGTGATGTCTGGGACCTTAAGCATGTTAAGTGCTCAAAACGATGCAAAAGAAGATCAGGCCAACTTGTTAAATACTTACTCTTTAGCCAGCAAATTTCTCCAAAAATTTCATTGGGCGAACAAAAGGTCCTCAGTGTTTCACCAACCATTCAATTTGTTAAAAATGTTAGAGACTTTTCTTCAATATTTGGCAGTGGCTTGCACATGAGAGGGAAGTCTAGTGATTTCAAAATGAGGCTAAAGACTAGACCTGTACATCAATTTACTCAGTGTTATTTAAAGTGGGTCATCATTAGACATGTTAGAGGCTTTTCAAATTATTTTGTTCGTGTTTACTAATTTTTAGACCCCATTTGTTGTATCTCCTTAGATCTCGAACCCGACACAACCCAGAATTTGCATTAAAGGAGCTTGTCCAACTGTTTGACAAGACAGACTTCTTTATCTATTCATTTTCATTAGTCTGGTGCTTGACTATGGAGAAATTTGTAGAAATAGAGACCTAGTACCCGACATCCTAGATATTTCTTTTGGCACAGCCAGCTGACAGTTGATTGATGCAGTACTGAAGAGTTGTTGGACTGGTTGTTTCAGATGTCAGTCTATTTTCTGGTATTGCATGTTTTCAGTACCGTAAGTTTTGGGACTCTCATACACAGTATTGAGAGTCCCAAATTTTCGGACTAGCAAAGACCCACTGATCGTGCCAAACACACACACAATAAATGGCAAGATATCCGAGCAAATACTGCAGTAATCCTGCAGTGGGCCTAGGCCAACTTTGATTTTTACCCTAAGTTATACAGGCCCATAGGCAGGAGGGGGGGGGGGTGTGAGGTCCACTTTCTCTTCGCTATTGTCATTTAAGTTTTACTCAAATGTGTATTTCCATGCGTAATCAACTGTTTAGTAGACATGAAAAGGTCCACTTCATGGTGAAAACGATCCTCCCCTTCCACCAGGCTGGCTACGGCCCTGTAAAAGGGATGCAATCATCTTTGAAAACTTCTTATGTCGTGGTTAAACTTCCCGAACTTGAAGCCGTGCGATTAGAAAAGAAAGTATTGTATTTGTAGGCCGTATTTGTAATTTAAATCTCTTTTTTGCAAACCGCTAACACACTACTAGCCTACGCTATCAGGACTTGTACTGAAGCCCATTGTGGACATGGCTTAAATAAAGAGAATTTTCAAAACTTAGAAGTGAAAACATACAAACATTTAGCCCCATAAATATTAGCCCCGTCCTGATGCCAAGATATAGGTCTACCTCAGTAATGAGACGGAGGAAGTCCAGTATTTGAGCAACATTGGTGGGGCTAACAAATGTGAAGTGTTAAATTGTTGAAAGGCTAAACAATTTTCAATACATGAGTAAAAATACTTAGGCTGACATTTCTTAGACAGGAAGACCAACTCAACTGAATGGCAGAGAGATGGGGGAAAAAAGATATAGTTTTCTGTTCTTAACCAAAAGTAGCTGTTGTGATGAATTATTTTGTTCTCATCTCCTTCCATCTAGGTACTTCATCCACGGTGTTTGCCGGGCAGGTGACAACTGCAGATATGCCCACGACAGATCAGGGAAAGACGCCAATATTTGCAAATTTTATCTAGGCGGAAACTGTCGCTTTGGTACCAATTGCAGGTCGGTAGAAAACGCATCATAACACCATTTTGTTTTTCAATGACCACTAATACTGTATTTTTATGCCCCGCGGCGAAGCCGAAGGGGCATACTGTTTCCGCCTTGTCCTTCCGTGGGTGGGTGGGTGGGTGGGTGTGTGGGTGTGTGGGTGTGTGTGTGGGCTTGTCTTACATACGCAGTGTGGACTTCCGAACAAAAGACGTCCACATAATGTAGGTAGCACCGACGTTGTGTGGACTTACTTAGGTTTAGAGGCATTTTTGGGTTAGGTTTATTTGTAGCAGAATGAAGAGAAACACTAAAGGGAATCATAGAAAAAAAATTGGGTTGAAAGAGTTTTCACAGTTTGAGAAAAATGAGTTTTTTCACTGGTTTTTCTTAACTACACGAAAGCAATGGAAAGTCCACACTAGTCATGTGAAACAAGTAGGTGTGGGTGTGTGGGTGTGTGTGTCCGGACAAATCTTGTCAGCGCGATAACTTGAGAAATACTTAACATATGAACTTCAAATTTGGTTTGTGGATTGTTCTTGGTAATCCTAAGAAGCCTTTCACATTTGGGGCCGAAAGGCCAAAGGTCAAGTTCACAGTGGCTAAAACAATAGAAATCTTGTCAGCGCGATAACTTGAGAAATACTTTACATGTGAACTTCAAATTTGGTTTGTGGATTGTTTTTGGCAATCCTAAGAAGCGTTTTGCATTTGGGGCCAAAAGGCCAAAGGTCAAGTTCACAGTGGCTAAAACAATAGAAATCTTGTCAGCGCGATAACTTGAGAAATACTTTACATGTGAACTTCAAATTTGGTTTGTGGATTGTTCTTGGCAATCCTAAGAAGCCTATTGCATTTGGGGTCAAAAGGTCAAGTGTCAAGTTCACAGTGGCTAAAACAATAGAAATCTTGTCAGCGCGATAACTTGAGAAATACTTAACATATGAACTTCAAATTTGGTTTGTGGATTGTTCTTGGTAATCCTAAGAAGCCTATTGAATTTGGGGCCAAAAGGTCAAGGGTCAAGTTCACAGTGGCTAAAACAATAGAAATCTTGTATTTATTCTGAGATTATAGGGATTAGGGATTAATTCATATAACACCTACAGAAGACACTAATGCTGTCAATGAATGTTCCATGTGACCAAGGTACATGTAAGTTGATGTTAAAAGAGTGGTGTTATGTCATGGGAACAGTCACGGTTGCGGGGCATTTGTGTTTGTAAACACACCTGACTTGTTTAAAAATTCTTTTGATGAAACTTCTCAATAAATTCTTGAATTGAAGTTCTGTTCTTTTTTTGGAATGTGTGACTTTTGTTTGTGTTGTTCAAAACGATTGAATGGTGTTCAAAATGATTGAATTGTCGTTCTGACTGAGTTATTTGTTTTGTATTTTTGCTTGATTATGGTTTTATTCACATGTTCCTGACTTTAAAGGCACACTTAAATGGGAGACAAAACAGTTTTGAAATAAGATAACAAAACCCTGTGTAATGTGTTAGAAAGTTTTACTTAATATTACAAAGAAAACGTATATAGTGAAGCTCAGGATTTATAAAATGACGACTATAAAAAAAAATCACAAAACTCTTTTGCTTCGCACAGATTCGATCATGTGAAACCAAACTCAAAGACCTCACTGAAAAAACCCAACAAGACGACCTCGCTCGGCTCCGCCCACAAAGGTAGCATGTCTATCAGTGCACTTGAGGATGCCCCCAGTAAGATGGTGACGCTACAGAAGGGCGTTGCTAATCAGGGAATGGGGGAGGATCAATTGAGCCCACTCAGTAAGGTGCGCATGGAGGATCTGGTTGGTGCTGCAGAATTTGTGCCTGGTCAACTGTACATAGGCTCCGGTAAGTGTGGCCCTTCCTGCCTTTGTGCATTGACCAATTAGATCTTGATTTTTAGTCAGGTGACCACAATGGCGCACGAGACTTGTAGGTTTGCATGGTGGACATGAACAAAGTATGGAAGATTCGCAGTAACACGGTGTGAAATTTATCTCTTTTGAGTTGTGTGGTTTTGAGAAGATCCAGTTGTTTTAACTCAACATATTGAACAGTGTGCTCTGTTCGTCATCAGGAGACACACTATTCGAAACGTCAAAGTAACCACTTTGTGCCGGGATTATTTTGGGGGAAAATTTCACTTTCGCAAAAAAAGTAAAATTTTCCAGCAAACTACTGATATACAGAATACTGATTCGCAAGAGTAATTACAACAGTATTTGTACGATATTTCTTGCAGAAGCCTCATGTTTCATTACTCCAGGATGTGCACTGGAGTGTAAATTGTACAACAATAGGCCTTGCACAACGGCCAATTCAAAATCAACACACGGTCTGCCTCCACAGACTTTGTGTATGTGTACAAAAGGCACGAGGGATAAGCATATTAAGACGTCACCCGGAGGAGAGTCGAGGCAATCTTGACGTCTTAACCCATCAGCTGTGCCTGTGTATGCCAGTGCATGTTATCACGTCCTCCAACGCAAACTGGTTAAAACAACTGGTTCTTCTCACAATTACAAAACTCAAAAGAGATAAAATTCACATGGAGTGACCACAAACCCGCCATACTTGGTTCACAATAGCACTGTCAAACTCAGTCACAAGCACTGTGAGAATGTACACTAACCAGAGGTGGGAATGCTGAATGGTTTATCGTAATAAGCTAGTTCAGTATTCTAACTGCCAAGTATACATTAAGACTTTACAACTTTCCTGTCAGGAAACAATTGTCATGTGGGTGCACAATCGTGGAAAGCTCCACTGGAACTGAAGATAATTACTCTTTGAGAAAGAATTGAAGCAAATTTCTTGCAAACTTTTGAACAACACACAGTGTTTACAGTATTGTACATATATGTAAGTAAAGTCTGTCACGAGCATATATAGCCCATGAGGCCTGTGTTTATCTCCAGTTTCCTTGGCATGAAACGACAGAGAATATTTCTATTCCCCCTGTACGGGATGCTAGTCCATCATAGGTTAGTCCTCAGCTAATGCCGGTACCCATTTATACTCCTGGGTGGAGAGAGGCAAGTGGGGGTGAAGTGGCTTGCCCAAGGACACAACATTTGGCCAACAGCTTGATTTGAACCCCTGACCCTCTAATAATGAGTCACGAACCCTAACCACTAGGCCACACCCTCTCCCCTCCCCCACCCAGTATCGTACGTATGTGCTCCAACTTTTACTGTGCAGGACCCCTCTAACACTTTCTTCATCATGCAACTTATAAGGGGCTCTTGTTCATGGGCATTGCTAGGCCAATTTGAATGGGGGAAGGGGGTGGGTGTCAACAAAGTTACTGATGCAACAGTTTTGCGCTGGATGGTCTAGCGCAGTGTGTTATGTTTGTTGGTAACCAGGAATGTTTTTCTGGTCACCCGACTGCAGCAAAATCAAAAAGTCGGGTGGGGGGTGACTTGGTGGCGGCACATTTGCTGATAGACACGTGATTTTGCTTACTGGTATGTTTAATGATGTTTCTATCTTTGTACTGAACAGTGCCACCAACGTACTCAGCTGCAGCCCTCTCTGGTGTGGGCTCCGAGAACGTAGAACCTGGCCTGACCGCTACCAGTCAAGACGAGGCACGGTATAGTGAGGACATGCTGTGCCCCTTTGCGCTGCGAGGGACGTGCCGTTACGGTGAGAACTGTAAGTTCTTGCATGGTGAGGTGTGCGACATGTGCGGATCAGCCTGTCTCATCACCAACGATCCTGTACAGAACAAACGTCACCGTGAAGTAGGTACTTTAGATTACATACATGTAATAGAATCCCCTAATGTGTCTCACCAGTGTCGTTAGTCAAGTCCATCACAAGTCATCTAGTTCCAAGTCAATTCACCAGCTGTGACAAAAGCATTCCTTTGTCATTGTTCATCCACTGTTATTTGTGTGACCAGACTTGTGACTGGACTTGTGATGGACTTGACTGCAACATTATCTCACTTCAACTTGTTGATGAACTTCAAAGTCATTCACATTAATATTGGTTCCATTAACCCTTACTCTCTGAGGGTAGTTTACTGCATGTCAGTTGGTTATGCCAATGCCCTCCAGCTGCAGTATTTTGGCAGATAGTTAGATTTAATAGTGAAGGCTCCAATTGGCAGGAGTTGGAGGCCCTGGAGGGTGCCTGATAGTGACCAGCTGGGGGCACTCACTTTGTTATCAGAGGACTCTCATTGTTCTCTGTGGCATGTATTGGAGTGCCTGTCCAGTTACCCTTGAAATGACATGGCAGATATTGGAGGGCCATGCAAAAAACATAGGAGATTTTCTTGCGGCACAATTGGCATGCGTTGGAGGGTCAAGTAGGGTAAGGGTTAATCTTATAAAATTTGCTAAAAATGGAAATTATGTGAACAATTTACTTCCACTTCTAACAATTGAGCTTTTAAGCCTCAAGTTGTTGGTCTTCCAATCAGTCAAGTTCTTTGCGTTAAGCAGCTCCTTGACACTAGACATACTTTTCTGTGTTTAGCAACTTTTTTCATCTAGCAAATACCTTAAAGGTAGGGTAGATCATTTGTCGTTTGTGCATTTGTTTTTTCGTTTTAAGCAACAAAAGTGCTCAAAATCTACAGGCAGGTGCTTAACAACTAACCTGATGAAGTGTTAGCTCTGTGAATGCTGTATATTCTGAGAAAAACGATATTCTACGACTCGTTTTCAATTCAAAATTTGCTGAGTCATGTTTTGAATTGTGCCAGAAATCAGCATCTGGGACACATTCTCATTCAGCAGATTGCAGCTAGGCAATGTCATGCGCTGAACCCACGAATTATAGCAGCACATGCGTGTTCGTCGCATCAACGTTTACACGAACCCATTTACGGATGCGATGAATTACAAAACCAACTACTAACGGAAATTTCCAACGATGTGTCACTTGACGCATCATTGGAAATGGCCTTCTGTCAGTGTTTCCTTCAAAATGACAGCATGCCAGAAAGAATAATTTCACAGGGAGTTTAGTGCCATTAATATCTTTAAATCAGTAAACTTTTCAACAACTACTATATTACTATATGGATATCTGCAAATGATCTACTCTACCTTGAATTTCCAATTTCCAAATTTTCAATATTTTTTTTTTAATTACAATTTCCAAATTTTCCCATTTCCAACTTCCAACATTCTAGCTTTCCAAATTTCCAAGTCTCAAAAATTATCATGCCAGTTACTTTTAGGATAGCTGCAAATGATCTACTCTACCTTAATTTCCAAACTACACAGTTTTTAAATTACAATTTCCAAATTTTCAATTTTCTTTTAATTACAATTTCAATTTTTTGAATTTTCATTTTATTTCCAGTTATGTTTAGCAGCGCACGAGAAGAGCATGCAGGAAGCGTTTGCATTCCAGCACAGCAGGGAAGTCCTGTGCTGCATCTGCATGGAGGTGATTCTAGAGAAATCACCCGCCAAGGAACGCAAGTTTGGTCTCTTGTCAAACTGCAACCACCCCTACTGCTTGTCTTGTATACGTAAATGGCGCAGCGCCAAGCAGTACGAGAAGAAAGTCGTAAGGTGGGTGTCAGGGAATGAAAGAGTGCCTTCTTCTTAATTTGGATAATTCAAAGATAGGAGAAGAAAGATCTCTAAATTTTAAATTCTTTCCAAAAGATCTGAAGCACTTTACCTTTGTTATATTTGAAATGTCTCTGTTTTTACAATTATTCTCACAATTTGATTTGCCATACTTGCCATAGTTTCTTCGTTTTTGTTACCTTAAATTATATTTAGCATGGTAGGATATCAGAATGTTTCTGAGCTTATTTATGCATTAAATTTATATCTTTTTGTGTATTTTATTTCCTACCCAGAGCATGCCCAACTTGCCGTGTACCATCACCGTTTGTTACACCGAGTGATTTCTGGGTGGACGAACCAGAAGAAAAGAAGCGAGTGTTGGAAAGATACAAAGAAGCATTAAGGTATTGTTCGTTACGTGATTACCACACTTATGTGTCCGACCCTTTTGGTGTAAAAAGTCAAGTCTGAAAAAAAAAGTTTCAATTAATGTTGAACCGACAAGCGACCTGTAACAATAGGTAGAGTTTTAATGGAGCAAATCACAAGTCATTAAAATGTTGAGGAAACCATTCACATTTGCACATGAACAATTGCCTGATTGCAGTTTCTGAGTAGGGTTACAGAATTTGCTGTAATCCTTAACCCTTAGTTGTCCGGAAAATGTGGGAAAAGTTTTAATGTTTAAAGAAGCGCGCTTTTCAGTAAAAATAACCAAAAATGGGATGTCAAATAGTTTTGATACATTTAAGAAGAGTAGAAAGTTGCACAAAATATGTTCCTGAGAAAAATTCACTTCATGAACCCTTTAATTTTCTCCTTTTTCAAAGTTTTCCTTTTTTCCCTTTTCTTAATATGGACCAGCCCAAAAGAGCACACCAGAAAAACTAGCAAAATATATCTAAGGAATAATAACAGCAAGTGTTAAAAGACCCAAACCCACTATAAAGCGTTAAGAAATAGATGGAAATAAAACAGAACAAACTGATCACTTATTAATTGTTGTTTGATATTTTTTCATTGCAGTAAAAAAGAGTGCAAGTATTTCAAGCAGGGTTTGGGAACATGTCCATTCGGTGCAGAATGCTTCTACCTCCATGCCTACCCTGACGGAACGAAGGAAGACCGTACAAAAGCCCGTCAGTTCACCGGGGGGGACGGCAAGGTCAAGACTCACCGCTCCTTCTCGCTCTGGGAGTTTTTTGAAGAGCGGGAAAGCCGTTTCATGGACTGGGACAGTGATGATGATGACGACTGGTTCCTGTACTACGATTGGTCAGATGATTTTGACTTTAGCGACGTTGAGGACCACGGACTCTGGAGCGACTATTTAGAGTTCTTTGGCTCAGGCGAGAGCTCTGATGAGTACAGCGAGGATGAGGAACGGGAGGTTGCAGATAGTGTGCATGTTGCCACGCCAACCATTGCCATGGCGGCAGCATCGATACAAGGCGCGGCCGCCGCATCGTTGGATACCGATGAGGAAGGGGAGGCGGGAAGTGGTTCAGGTGAGAAGGTGTATGGCGCTGTTGCCGTAGCCGTTGACGATGACAAAGATGATTATGATGACGATGATTCGGATGATTCTGATTCATTATAATATGGGTTGGTTCCTTTCTGCTTCTGACAGAGGATTTAAGAATTGAGAATACTTGTAGCGTAGTATATTGCATGACTCTATAATTATGCAAAAACAGAGTTAGGAGCTGGCTGTACAAATGGGTGCTTTCGATCAGCTCACCAAGATCGACTCGGGTTAGCCCCATGCCGTTCGATTAGCTCTGACGTCATTCTCGGGGCTCACCCGGGACAGCCACCACAGACCCTGCTTGTGGAGCAGAGTCAGTGGTGAAAATACGTCACACGCATGCATTGTTCATTCCAAGAAACGGACAAATATGGCAGCCGTGCAGCGGAAATCTCAAGTGGACCCAAAACTCAACTTTATTTTAAGTCTAAAGGTAATTAGTTATTGAGTTCATTGCGACTTTAGAGGCTATATTTCCAGCCCAATTTTTTTGAGTTTTGCACGTGACTGAAAAGCAGTCAATTTCAAACTAAGACCCAGTCCGAAACGAGCATTTTGTCAGTGGCTATGGCAGCGGCTATGAACATCACGTGAGGATCGTGATGGCTCGCGGTTGAGCATTCAATTAGCCCGACGGTCGTGGCTAACCTGTCTGCCTTGGCTAACCTATCTGCCTTTACCCTCGATCCGGGTGATTTACTGGAATGCACCCAAGATTTGACAATAGTCACTCGTTCGTGTATATCATTCCGTGAAGAATATGAATTGAAACATGTTACCGATGATCAAATGGTTGGACAAATCAACTTTACATCTATTGGAGGTTGGATTTTCCTTTCTGACTCGTCACTAACCTTCAAAATGTAGAGGTTTTTAATTTTTGGATAAGAATACAAACAATTTATGTTTTGCAAGTCCATCATTTTTGCACATTTTTTTTTTTTTTTACTCTGGTAATTATGGTGCTTCCATATGTATCTCAGGACAAACACGTCATTTGGTAGCGGCTGATTCCCTTTACGTATTCTATTATTATTTTTTTTTTTTATTGGTAAATCATAGAGAAAAGTCACTAATCAACGTGCTCTGACACTGTGGAGAAATGAAAGTGAACATGCATACCTTAATGACAATTTAATTTTAATAAAATCACAATTATAAAACTGGCAATATTCTTCTCAGAATTGTGCACAAAAAGGTATATGCTATCGTTTGCAGATTTTGGGTATCGTGCAGTTGAACATGAAACAGACCATTTCACGCTTTGCATTTTTTCCTCGCGTGAAATCAAATTCCAAAAATGATTATTACTAGTCATATTTGTGTTTGCTTTTTTTATTTGCATCTTTCATTTTACTGCAGAGCATGCCCGATTTTTGCACCGCACGTCAGACCCATCTCGCCCAAGCAAAGACTGCATATACCTTTAAAAGTAGCATTTCTTGGTGAAGGTGATGGTGAGTTATAAAAAAATTTACAAAACTGACTTAGAAATTTTCAACTTGAAATACAACCAAGCAAGATTTCAGACACGAGCCAAAATTAAATGTGAAAATGATTTGAAACTGTTCAACTTGAAATATGATATTTCAGTCGATTGTTGGTTCAATGCATGTGGGGCATCAGATTCACCAAATGTGAGACTAATGTTCTCTTTATAAGATGGAATTTTGCGTCGGGTTGATATAAATCAAATTAGGTTTTGCCCTTCACCGACGTTTTTTAAACACTGTATACTCAGTGTGTTACCTCCCGAGTGAAAGTTGGAAAAAATCACTCGGGTGGGACTCAAACCCAATGTTCTCTTTTCTTTAAATCGTAACTGATGCCTCCCACCCGAGACACTTGCTTGATACCAGTGACAAGTACAATTCAAGGAAGGAGACAAAAATCGCTAGTGACCTCCCGAAATCTGTAATGTTAACGACATTTATAGGAAGAAAGTGCATAGGTTTAGAGATGAAGCTTGTGGTATGTAGACGTATGTAAGTATGGTTGTATCAGAATGTGTACCGATTAAAAGATTGTATGCTTAATCAGACAAGCAGGTACATTGTATCAAACATTATGTGGTTTACCTGACTGAATATTAAAAAGTGTCCTTTTCTAGAACTGTACGCCTGATTAAATCAGTACAAATAGGGAATTGCTGTTAATGTTAATGCATGACCAAAAACTCTCAAAACGTCTGACTAGTTTGAAAAAAGCAAATTTTCTGACCTTTTCGAATTGCTCAATTTTTAAATTGGTACTTTTTTGGTACTTGGTGATGACTTGCGCGCCAACAATCTTTGATTAAAAGAGGCAAACATTTTCAATTTTCGGCAGCTGAAATCAGGAATGTTGTTTTTATCGGATTATTAAACTTGACATGGACAAATGCATAACCTGTCTAAAACATTCGTCTATCTATAAAAAAAGCTTCAAATTGTCAGCAACGTGTCCAGATTGTCTTGAGAAATAGCAAGATCAAGATTGCATATGAAAATCAATGACAATTCTGTTTCATTCGATTTTCTCCTCTGAAAATCATTGTGGGTTGAGGTGTTAAATGTGTGAGGAAATTAAAGGAAGTTTTTGTAATGTTGGAATTATAAGTCTACTCACAATTCCAGTCCTAATTCTGACTGCTTTTCTCTGACTTTTTTTCCCCCCTGATATACGATAATTAGCCCAATTTCCTTGTAAAAATTGCGGAAGAATGTCTTCAGAACTGTGGTATGAAGCAACAACCTCTATTTTCAAACCCATTAGACAAAGACAATTTAATAAATTGTAGTTTCTGGAGGTGGTGTATGTAAAACAAAAATGTTTGGACAACACAATGTCCATTGTACGTGCATTATTACTGCAAGATTAGAATGAATTGAATGTAGGGCTGAAACTCTTTGGTATGTGGTATGTTAAGTTTAACGGTCATATACGTCTTGGGATTTTATTAAAATATTATATTATGTATTACTGCAGCCATTGTGCACTTGTTATATACAAATCCTATCCCAATGAATTGTTCATTATTTGATTACAATTTAATAAAATATTCATCTATAACTTACAAAGCACGAGCTGGCTGCATCTGTATGTGGTTATTTACTGCGTGGATGTCATGCATGTCGTTGTTATCTGTGCTGGTCTCATAGGGCCAGCCTGCGAATCTTTTTTTCCCAAACGACATCCGCTTCCCATCTTCTGATTGGTCCATTACATGCATATCTAATGCCTTATTCTCCACAAGACAAGCCCAAGATAGGCTTTACGTCTTTTGAGAAATGTTCCTTCCTCACTTTAGTTATTTAAAAGGTAAAATGATAAGAAGTGCAAAACGCTCACTGCGATTCGAACTCGGATCACCTGATTGGAAGTCAGGACTACTTCCAACCAGTCCACGAATCAGCTGCCAATCGTCGGTGCTTTAAACACCATTATTCCTTGTTATATAACTTAAACCCTGGACATATCATGAATATGCATAACGCAGAGAGAGCGCCCTCTTTTGATATTGTCCAATCTCGTTTGGGAAAAAAATTCACGGCCAGCCTAGCATCCTCTTTCACCTATCTCACTGACTGACTGACTAGTTTACTGACTGACATTGCGACTTGGACCAGTATGAAGAGAGTCAGGCAGTGCTATTGTATAGGATGGCCCGTGCATGAAAAGACTTCCAGGGAATTGCCTTTGAGTATCGGTGAAATTAAATTGTGTGTATTCTTGGACTAGCTTGACCAGGTTTGCCTTGACTTGTTCGTTAAGCATAATCCATCAGTAATACCAAATTTTATGGCTTGGAATGGTTTTCAAGTTATGGACTCTTGCTAGTCCTTGGCGAGTAGTGCAGAATAGAATGAGGAGTAATTGAGCACGCATAAGTAGGTCCGTATACCCCCCCCCCCAAAAAAAATGTACAAGCAGCGGATGTAGAGTGTGAATGGGGAGGGTGTTCTCCCCCCCCCCCCCCCCCTTGTTCAGCCGCTGACTGATGTTATGAAACTAGTAAAATGCTGGGGGCCAAAAATACTAAATGAAATGCTGAAGTTTCTAAAGATATTCTTGAATTGCCATAGAATGCAGGAGAAATCTTCAAAGATTTAAGAATGTTTCCGGGGACATGCCCCTAGACCCCTAGCAGGGCTTGCAGTTGGTACGTCTCAGAAAAAAACACCCCCACTTTTATTACCTCCCATTTCCCTGGAGCTAGACCCGCCCCTGCTTGTGTGTTGAATGCAGAGTAACATTGTATACCTACAACGTGCAAGTCAGAAGTTCTGCATGAATTTGGTATCCTCACTGCAAGTGTGGGTTTTTTGTACACATGATACCTAGGGATAGACCCTGTGCACAACTACTCCCAAGGCATTTCAAGATCTACATGACAATACAAATTTATGACTTTATGACGCTGAAAAATGATTAAAAAACAACACACAAAAGCTTTCATTGCAAAGTGTTATTTTTACTGTCTAGCATTCTGGAATATATATACATCATATCCTCATTTCTATCAAGTATGTACAATGTGCATAAGTGCTCCCACAAAGAAAAGAGAAGAGGTTTGAAGTCATATTTGATATTTATTTAATACACATTTAACAAAATGGGCGCCCCCCCCCCTAGAAAAAATCCTGGCGATGCCCATGTTGACAACCAGACAATTTCTAGGGGTTTTTTTTTGGGGGGGGGGGCCACATCCCCCAGGCCAACAGTGGCGTAGCAAGGTCATTTTTTTTGGGGGGGGGGGGTATAAATTTGTTAAAAAGGGCACTTTTTTTTTTAAAGGGCACTTGCTCAGAAAAAAAGGCATTCGTTAACAAAAGAAGGGCACTCTTTACAAATATTGGGGGGGGGGGCTAAGCGCTATTGAAAAAAGGGCATCTGAATGAAAAAGGGAAATCTTTTCAAAATATTCGGGGGGGGGGGGGTAAATACCCCCTTAAACATTAGCTTTGTATTGTTTGAAAGAATTACCAAACCCACTATGTACCCCCTCCAGAAAATACTGGGCCCCAATTAAACACCCCCCCCCCCCTCCCCCCATTTGCTACCGCAGTAGCAGATTTGGGGGATGGGGAAGTTCAGCCGCCAACTAATGTCACGAAAATAGAAAAATTGGGCTAAAAATAATAATTTGAATGCTTTAGTTTAGGTTCCAATTCTCAAATTTCCTTAGAATGCACGAGAAATCATCATAGATTTAGAAAAAATTTCCGGCAAGGCATGCCTTCAGCTTGCCTTCACCTTCACTCAACGCTCCCCTCCACACTCGTATCAACCCTTCCGTTTCCTAAAACCTAGATCCACCTGCTCCACCTGTTATGCTCCTGAACGTTGCACTTGTTGCTATAAACATGCCAATATACAACTAGTATATATTTTGGATGCAAGTTTGCTTAATCTGACATGTGCAATGTATAATTGTTACACATTTATTGTGTGCTTGGATACTGTAGTTTCTTTCATTGTAAGTTACAATGTACAACCATTTATCTTTTGATTTATTGGTATGATATAACAAAGCAATTGTTGACTGCTGTGATGTGGGATATATGCTGTGTTTAACCCCCTTCGGGTGCTTAGCACCCTCAGCTTCACCCCAGGTGCTATGTACCCCTTAAGTGCTAAAAACGTCATATCCCACACCACAGCAGTCAACAATTTGTTAATATACACAGCTAAACACCACACAAATGTAACGTGACGGAGCAAACCTTTATCAACAGTGAATAAGTTGAAAACTTTTACAAAATGTGTACATATTTTTCTTCAATGAAACAAAATTTACCTTATTTTCACACACAAAACGGATTCTGGTTATGTTATTGAAACCTCACGGCAGTAAAGTACAAAAAAAAAACACGAAAAAAAACCCCCCAATTTAATTAATCAAATTAGGTTTTGCCCTTCACCGACGTTTTAAACACTGTAAACTCAGTGTGTTACCTCCCGAGTGAAAGTTGGAAAAAAGTTACTTGGAATGCAAAAGAAAGGAAAACAAACTTTTATTTTACTTTGAGGTATCTGAGATATTTTGCTGCAATTTCATTGGCTGGCTTAAAACGTCTACTCACATTTCTTCGATCCTGATGCCTTTAGTTTTTTCCTTGCAATTTTCAAAAATTTTCTGGGTTAATTACTGTAATGAGTTTGTACAAATGGTTTTCCACCACACTTATAAAGGAATATTTCTGTCTAAGAAGAAAGATAAATACACTGCAAATTTTTAACTTTTGGCTAATCTCATGCTAGACTTGTAACTGGGAAAAACTAATAAAACAAATGATTTCCACATACCTGTATAGAAGGGTTTGAATATAAGAGCTTTAAAATGATATACATCCTTTAAAGATTTGCATAATCTCTATTTCCTATATTAATTATTGATCCTGATTTGACAGTTTAATGACATTTTTCTTTACTTAAATTAACCATTTTAACATATTTCACCATATATTCTATAATACCGGCTTTAAACAAAATTGACTTCCCTTTATATGGTTTTTATCTGATTTGCTCTCAGTAATTCAAATGAATATAAATTGAAATATCTTCTTCATTTTATCTTTATCATATATATACATACATTGTACAGTATACTTTCATAGGTTATTTTTATGCATATACTTGCAACTAGGAGGAAGTTGGATTGGTGACCGTTGGTGACCTGGTGGTTGCTTTGTGACGTAATTTACGTCGCACACTAATTGTAATGCGCAAACGTCTCTATAATCAAACAATGGTGAAGGTGGAATGGACCATTTGTAATTTGTGCATTTTGTTTGTTTGATGCAACAAAAGTGCTCAAAATCTTAAGACGGGTGCTTAGCAACTAACCTGACAAAGTTTTAGCTCTGTGCATGCTGTGTATTTCGAAAAAAAACAGAACAAATGTATGCACAATATTCTAGATCTCAATTTCAATTCCGAAGTTGCCGAGTAATATTTTGAATTGCCCCCTCTCCTAATCAGCATTTGGGACGTGATTCTCATTTAGCCGGTTGTCATCCATTCACAGAAATTTCCAAAAATATGTCACTTGACACATCTTTGGAAACGACCTTCTTTTATTGTTTTCTTCAAAATGACAGCGTGCTAGAAGCAGTGATTTCACAGGGAGCTTAATTAGTGTTAATTATCTTTACACTATGTAAGTTCTTCACCATAATTTGGTTACTTTTTGGATACAGGTGCAAATAGTGCACTCTACCTTTAATAGGTCATTATGAAACGTCTTGGTTCCTGACTCCTTGCTGTGCATTATGATGCGCACAGCCAAGACAACCGACTAGTCTAGTTGAACTGTAATTGACTAGCCTGGCTTTGGGCGAAAATAGTCGAACTTATGGTTAATTATAGTTCTAGCTGAAACATGCTTTCTCTTTCCAAAGTACCACCACTTTTACTTGCCCTATTTTGTGACAACCACTTACAGCTACTCGCCATTTGCAAGTTGGGGACTTTGACGACCAAACTGACTAGTGCCTTTATTTGTCAGTCGTTGGCTAGGCTCTGGCATAAACTGGTACCCGCTGTCTGGTGTTTGATTCTTGAACTGACTTGCTTCCTCAAGCGACGATCGCTGACTAGGTTCAGGCATGTACTGAAACCCGCTGACAACTGTTGCCTGGTCACTTAACTGGCTAGCGCCCTCATGTGGCAATGGCCAACTAGGATCTGGCATGTACACCACTGGTGCCGGGGTGTTGAACTGACTAGCATCCCCATGAGGCAATCGTTGGCTAGGTTCCGGCATGAACTGGTATGCACTCGCAACCGGTGTCCGGTCCGTGGTATAAGGAGCTGCATCACGTGACATTCGTCTGTGCGTTTCTGCTACCATATTCTGGTACCCAACCACTGGTGTTGGTTGGCTGCCGAGTTGACTGCTGCCCTCGCTTGGTAAACGTTGGCGTTGGTCTTCCCGAGCCCTATCGCCTGTGAGTGATAAGTGACCGCAGCGAGGGCAAATGCCCTCCTGTTCCATTGACAGTGACATCTGCTGCATCGCCTCCATCTTTTGTCGTCCACTTTCCATCTGCACGGAGACCAAGTCAATTTCTTGTTCCCAAGCCTCAAACCTGCAAGAAGCAAAAACACAAAACAAAATGTACCATGAACAAGCTTTTATAAGATAAAATATAAAATTTCCATCTTATAATAGTTTATGCGGTACCCGCTGCTATGTACATCAGATTCGAACCAGCCAACCGATCCCGTTAGCTCGGTGGTTGAGTGGTAAGACGTCTGCACTAGAAGGCAGGAGGTCGTGGGTTCGAGTCCCACCCGAGTGATTTTTTCCAACTTTCACTCGGGAGGTAACACACTGAGTAAACAGTGTTTAAACGTTGGTGCAGGGCAAAACCTAATTTGATGAACAAGCTTGATCGGGTCTCTGAAGCTGCGGACCAATGAATTTGTGTTCATGCATGAGTCAAGTGACTGTGCCATGTAATTTCTGGAAGTAGCAGTATTTTTAGTAAAAAATCAGATTTTTGATCCCAATGACTCCATGATGACCTTTGACCCCAGTTTGGTCATGTGACATGTTGGGGCTGGGCTACTGATATTTTTGACAAAGTTTGGTTGAAATCTGTCAAAATATGTAGGAGCAATAGACAATGTCAATGTTTGTTACTAACTAACTAACTAAGTAACGGACTAACAAATATCATGATTTGTTCAGCTGCTATCCTGCAGCTAAAAATATTTCACAAATACTAAGTGAAGTCCCAACTGTGGGCTCAGTGCACAAGTACCAATGCCCTCCAAAAGTAAAAGGGAGAGTTGGGGGAAAACCACTGGCAGGGATATTAGAATGCATGTTGCGGAAGACACCAGACACATAAAAAGTCATGTGTATGCCATGCGTACAGGTGGAGGGGGGGGGGGTTCTAAAAATGTCCCCATTCACTCACATTGCCTTGACATCCTTGGGTACGAGGATGTACCCATTACTGTCCATAGGTAAGCCTGCAAGTTGCTCTGAAATGGAGGCAATCTGTTCCGGGGTAACCTCTTGCTCCAGCACCTTGGGGTCTGATTGGGCGAGACCACTGAGTGGAGTAAACTAAAACACAAACAAACAAATGGCGGAGCATTATAGAATAATTAGACGGAATGCAGTAAGCAGGGTAGTTTTGTAATTTGTACGTTTGTTCAAACACATGAGGGGCAAGTTCGCGCAACAACCATTAGTCAACCAATGGTTGCATGGTTGATGTCAAACAGTGCGCATGCGCTGAAACATTCAAGTGCAAACGACTCTAGTCAAACCATTGTCAAAATATAGGCCAAGTTCGCGCAAGGACTATAGTTGACCAATGGTTAACTAATGTTTGCCCGAACTCTGTCTAGTCGACGGTGGTTGACTACGCTAGTCGACTATTTGGAACCAGCCTACTGGGGTTGGTTGCTTCGCTGGTAACCAATAGCCGCGCGCGTTCATAACGCTAGCAGAGAGCCAGGATCTAGAAGTTTTGCGATGACATTTTGACCAGCGTTTGACTAGAGACGTTCGCACGTTGCTACCAGTGCGCAGGCGTAAGGTACGTCACAAATCAACCACTAGTCGACTAATGGTCCTTGCCCGAACTTGGCCTTGGTAAACATGAGTATGTTTGGATTGTTTACATTCTATCGCCGAGGCCCACCATGTACCAGTGGGTAATACAACTCACTACGTTTAATCTCTTGTTAATGGTTTCCTCTACATGTAAGTAACAAAATGAGGCTACTGATGACCAGGGATGCAACCAGGCCCAGCAGGCTGGTTCCAAATAGTTGACTAGCGTAGTTCTATTATCGTCAACTAGACCGAGTTCAAGCTACCTTAGTCAAATTATTGTTAACAATAGTTCTTGCGCAAAGTTGCCCTAGGGTTTAAGCCGTACATTGTCATGAGGTGAAAAATAGCTCGAAAATCCTACACACATAAACTTAACCTTTTAAACTTTCATCTCAGTCAATGAAATACATTTTAAGAAAACAGAAAAATATGCTCAGTTCTTCTCAGGTCTTGGTAGTGGTTTGCGTTGCTAATGCACGTTGAAAAGTGTGTCTACTGGCAACCCTTTTGACACCACCGTCAACATGAGTTTTCCTCCAAACCGTACCATTTCAAAGGGTATAATTTGGGATAATTTCACAGGGTATCTGATACCAGTCCTGTCTTCAGTTTGATTATCAAATCGGTAGGTACTTTTCCGGGTATTTTTGCAAATGATCCTATATGGGTTTATAACCAGATGCAACTAATTTAAAAAACGTTCAAGGGAATAATCTGTACCGGATCTGTGTTAGTGCCTACATCCACTGGTCTCCGAGGAGTCTTAGGTGTTGCTCCAAAGGCCATCAAACTATCTTGAAGTGTTTCCTCGAATTCTGTAACAGGTGGCTGTACATCTGTATCCAGCTGAATTGTGGATAAAAATAAGGAAATGTGAGGCGTTCTGGCAAAATGAGACAGAACTGGGCAGAAGTTGAAATGAGGGTTTGCGGGTATTAGGAAAGAGAATAAAATACTCCTTACAATACTGTTTGTTGCACTTCAATCAGACAGTCCACCGATAAGTTATGGCTATTTCGACACGTAAATATTATTTTAAAAAGTATGAAAAAGGCATTTACAGCTTCAAGTTTTGTACTTGTAGAAATGAAATATGTATTCTTTCATACAAAAAATCATGGAAAGAGTTCCATACATGTACTTGGACACCCTATGCACAAACCCTATGAGACTGGTCTGAAAAGTTCAAAGTCTGTTCTCAGTAAATGCTTCAGTATATTCCCTGCTTAATTTGATTTTTTTACGACATGTTATCGCTTTCTGACGACTGATAGGTCACCACAGGGAAAAAATTGTGTTGTCCATGGATGGAATTCTTCAAAAAAACACTTTTATTCCACTTTTTTTTTTAATACTATTTCATTAAAATATGTGTAGTAGACATTTCATTAAAATATGTGTAGTAGACATATCAAAGATTACAAATATCAATAAATCTGACAATCTGAAAAAAAATTCCCAGTAGAGTCAGTCCAAAACTTACCATGTGAACTTCCTGTAACAAGACCTGGTAGTCCCGCACTAGCTGAGACAGTGTTTTGTCGACTGCGCGAACCTGCTGCCGGAACTGATGAGCGATTCTGTAGCAAACGACAATCAAGTATTTATGCTAACCATTAATGGGAGAGTGTCCTTGGGCAAGCCACTTAACCTCCACTTGCCTCTCTCCACCCAGGAGTATAAACGGGTACCGGCATTAGCTGGGGAGTAACTTGTGATGGACCGGCATCCCATCCAGGGGGAATAGAAATATTCTCAGTTGTTTCATGCCAAGGAAACTGGAGATCAATGCTGGCCTGGGCCACATTGGCTTGTGACAGACTCAAGATCTACTCTTTTATACATACTGACCATTATACAGAATTTTTCTTGAGTCCATTTGAAGTTTATGTCAAGTTCCTGGAAGCCATGACATTAGATATTCAAAAGAAGTGCGAGTAATTTTGTGAGCCATTTTTATGTTGCATTCCTTGTTTTGCATTTAACAGTGCAACTGCATGGTGATATGGTCATCATTTATTCTTGAAAAAAGGCTAGAGTGGTTTTGTTGACCAAGTGCTACAGAGGATTTTCCACAAATTGAACATTAATGCCTCAGACAGCATTGTGGTCAGGTAATCACAAGTCAAATCACAGTGTGGTTTGTTTTTTATATGACTTCTGATCGCCTTCTGGCTTGTGATTTGTTTGAGATTGACTTGTGATTGGCTTGAGATTTGTTTGAGATGACTTGTGATTGGCTTGAGATTTGTTTGAGATTGACTTGTGATTGGCTTGAGATTTGTTTGAGATTGACTTGTGATTGGCTTGAGATTTGTTTGAGATTGACTTGTGATTGGCTTGTGATTTGTTTGAGATTGACTTGTGATTGACTTGTGATTTGCTTAAGACTGACTTGTGATTGATTTGCGATTAAATTGTGATTTGCTTAAGACTTGCTTGTGATTGGCTTGAGACTGACTTAGGATTTGACTTTTGCTTTGACCGATGACTGACTTGCAATTAACTTTTGTGTTTTGATCGACTTGTATCAGGCTTGGTACGAATACAAGTACAGTGTATCAGTCTTGTTACCAAATAAATGAATACAGTGAGTTGACCACTTACATGTACCACTCGCTGAGCTTCGCATGGATAGTTTTCCATCTCAAATCACAATGACTCTGGCAAATTGACATTGCCTGAGTGCTTTTAAGATTCAGCTTTTCTCTATAAAAGCAAAAAAAAAAAACATGGAGTATTAGTATAAGTTATTACAAACATTTGGTAATCAGTTTTGAATGAGTATTTTAAAAAATCACCGAAATTTGACTGAATGGAAACAAAAGAATGGAATGTTGAACTTACTTGTCCATTTTGTGAATCTGTTCTTCATTGTATGACAAATGTTTCTTCTGTTTTTCTTTCTTGAACTGGGTGTAGATTTTGTGCGCTTCCTCCGTAAAAATTGCAAACCTTTTTAAACTGTAAAATACAAATTCTAAGTCAGAAAAAGGTAAGTGTTCTTTCAGCAAAATGAAAACAAATCACATAGGGATGTGTGTGAATTGTTTTTGTTTTGCTGAAAGAATGCACACCTTTTTTGTGATCCGTGGACAGAACTTTAAAACGGTGGTTGTGTTTAAAATTCCGTAACTTGAAAAGTACACAAGTGATTTGAATGATTCTTGTACTAAAAGAAAGCTTACAAATTGGGCTTTCATATCCTACATTTTTGAAAGTGCTACATGCAGAATTTCACCAAAACAATAGTCCCGACATTTGGTTTTGTTTTTTTTTTACTCCAAATTCTATCACACAAGCCAATCGTTGGTGTACCGGGTATTTTCATTGTGAATCTTAGGATGGGGAACAGCCACAGCTGCTGACAATGCCACAGTTTCGTAAATTTTCATTCCATATATACATACCACACATAACATGGTTTCAGTGCCTCTTCTGAAGCGGCCCACTTCTTTGTCAGCTGGTTTTCGACAATCAGATACTTCATAAGACTTTCCAGCTTTTTCTTCACACCGTCATACGAATTGACCATCTAGTTCAAGGAAATTATTAGTGCTATCTTCAGGCGGTGGTCTTCAAAATTACATGAATCAAACTTGATAGATATTTTTGTAGTGTAACTACTCACGGTTTATGTTTGCCTCTAGCCAAAACTCTAATGTAAATTACGATGTTTAAAATCAATAGTCAGTGCTTTTAATGAATTTGCTGTAACTTTGTCTGGATATTAACACTGAAAAGTCCTGTTTGTTGAAGCACTTTTGTAACTTTACCTAAATCTAAACAAACAAGATTGTAAAAGTGAATTTTTTGAGCAGTAGCAATATGTGAGCTTTTCCTGAGCCTTGAATATCTGTTTTACGCCCCAATGACGTTATTACAATGCTCACATTCATTCCAGAATAAGGCCGATTCCATATTGAATTGATGTGTTATGAAAATTCTAGACCAAAAGATCGTTGAAGTTTTATCAGAATCAAAATGCTAAATGTCTTAAAATTAAGATCATTTGGAGAGTAAACCCTTACCACCCTTAATCCTTCAAAATCATCTTTGCCAAAGTGGGGGAATTTGGAGGATTGAGGTTACATGGCAAAAGTGCGTTACTGATTTCGTAGGATGAACTTTGTCAAGGTCTTGGGCCAGACCTTGTGTTGTTTTTGCTCAGCCATGCATAAATATAGGCCTGGATTATGCTTGAAATCCTCCGTACTGCTCCAGGATGTCACTGGCCAAGCCTCAACATATTAACAGTCACTGCTGCAGGATTCAGGCAGTGGTCACCCCTCCACAGACCATATTCAAGGAATAATGGAGGAATTTGCAGGATTGGGGCTATATGTTTTTTTTTCCCATGAGGCCAATTGGAGGATTTTGCAGGATCTAGACTACATTTTAGCAAAAAGGCCTAGGGAGTTACCGGTAGGGTTAATACAATTTTGGGTTCAAAGGAATAGAAAAAAACACACATGAATAAGTACTCACTGGAGCTACTTTTATCCTGATCCTGGTGACTATATCTTGAATGCTCTGTAACCGCACACCGAGAGAGTCTTGGTCGGGTATCCTGGAGAAGACTGATGCTGATACGAGAGGCGAGGGCAGTGTTTGCTCGACGCACAGAAGTCGCGTGTCAACCTCCACGATGCTGGCATGGAGCTTGACGCAGTGGTAGTCTAACTGCCTCACCTCGGCTTTCAAAACACATCTGTGAAAAAGGAGAAAGATACCATGCTAGTCTTTGTCCAAGTCTTGATTTGGTTTTTTCCCCTCATACAGCCCAGTCCCTTCCCCTTGGAAGTGCGGTCACTTTGCCTTGGCAACAGACCTCATTCACAGAGAAGCCATTTTTATTGTGTTCCCCGAATGTCGCGCGTTTTTAAATATACGCTCAAAACAGTGAGCACGTTACAGTGTTATAGCTCGTGCAATACGTACTTGTATCCCCCTCAAAGCCATCCTATACTATATAAATAAGTTCCTAGAGGCTGTTTGCCATAGCAACCGACAACTACATTACATACTTACACAATTGCCTTGGAGACCGTTGTCATGAGCTCTTGCATAAAGGTGAGGTTCTGTAACCATGCCAACATGTAGTACAACACAGCCACTGACATCTGCAAAACACAAATGAATTGTTATAACCGTGGTTCTGAATGACTACAACAGCCAATCTTTCAATGATATGTTCAAAAATTGAACTTTTCAAGTATTTTAATTCCAATCTTCGGAATAACTGCGACTGAATCTACTTCTCACAGATGCAGGGCCTAATTTCACGGCGCTGCTTAACAGTTAGCCAAAAAGTTGTGCTTAGCATAGCAAAAACATGTGATTACCTTAAGCACAACTGAACTTCCATCTTATGAATACCTTAAGCACTATTTCATGGCGTGGATGTGCTAACAATCGTGTGTGCATGGATATTTCTATTGTTACATTACTAAGTTAAGCAAATGTTTCCTCTGAAGTAAGCATGCCTTTTGCTGTGCTTATGCTTACGGTCTCCATGAAATAGACGGAGGCTCTGTTAGCAGAAAATCGTGTGCTAAGCAGCGCTGTCAATCCCTAGCAAAGTCTTCAGCCATATCTGAATTGATCGGCTATGACGAGGAGTAACATATGTCTCTAGAAGTGGCTGTGTCTACTTCCCATGTACATGTGTGTCAAGCTTAGCCATGGCTAGTTAATTTTTGGACACAGTCTTAATTAGGCTTTGGCTAACGGCTAACACACGCTCCAATGGTAGCCACAGCCACTGAATTGTACTTCCCATAGAAATGTGTGACACTGATAGCCAAAGTCGAGGAATTTCTGACGTAATCTTACCTTGGCCATGTTGGCATCTTTGTCAAGGTCATAGGTCGAGGACATCTTGGGCAACTTGGCTGTGTCTCAAATCGATGGCAATTTGGCGTCAGGATCGGCGTGGAAACCATTTAAAATTAAAAGGAACAAAATGTGACTGACATGTAGAATGCTTGGAGTTATAAATAGCAATACCCTGAAAAAGTTGAGGATTGACGTAGCACCATGCTCACGCGCAGTTGGCACACACGTGCTAGGTGCTCCTTTGACCAATTGGGTTTTCAAACGAGGCATGCACCTCACATTTAGAGGCACGACTCAGTGTTGTAAATAATGATCACCAGATTGGTTTATGCTTACGTTGAGAAGGTGTCTCCACACGTGGAAAATCACTCCTGCCCACCTCCAACAGAATCACAGGGTTCTGAGGAGTCGTCTCTGGGTAGGACTCGCATTTGAGCGAAGCGTCCGGGCAGAAGCAGTCTCGGTCCCAGACCAATGCCTGGGTCGTGGCTTGGACGCCAGTCTGCTCGGCAATGGCCTCTTGGAACTCTGCCAACGTGCCGCGCGGCTCTGCGTAGATCTTGAGACATTCCGACTTCGAGACGTGGAACAGATCGACCACCTTCATGGCCAATAAGACTTGGACTTCGTCGAAGAATTGGTTGAAGGTCCACATTCGCTCCGGATTGCACTCCAGCAGGCCACGCAGGATTTTGGTCAGCAGAATTTTCAGACCACTTTGGTAGTAAAGGGGGAGGGGGAGAAATTGCATGAAAAGCAACAATAATAACAGGGAAGTATCACTTTTTGACTCTAACAAATTTGTGTGAATATTGGGATGTAGGTGGCGTGTAACATCCCTCAAAAATTGTTTCTGTTTGCCTTAAACATCCCAATCAGCATACAAGCCTTTAACTTAATATCATAGGGTCCCACCCCCCATTTGGGGGCAAATATACCACCCTGAATAACACAACCTAAATCAAATGCAACTTGGCAGTACATATCTGGCTGATACCAGTACAGTAAGTAGTTGGTCCATACTAGACATGTGTTACTCACAAACACAAAAGACTTGTCTAACACCAGGCATGCAACTGGGAATTTAGAGAAAAACGAGGAAATTCCTTACCACACAAGACTTTGTACAGTGTTTTTCAATTTGTTATGGCATTCATGAGATGTAAAAAACAAGGAAATCAGCAGATCCGAGAAAAAGTTGCATGCCTGCTCATACTCAACATTTAAACTTGGTCTGAAAACTTAACCCAAAAGATCTGTAAGTAGTTGTAATGGTTGGCTCATAAGTTCCTGATATGAAGGATTCTGGCTTCTCCTGTTGTGCTCCAGGAACGCCAATTTCTATAAAACAAGGCCAGACACTAGAAGTATTCTTCTAACTCCAAAGCAAGACATGAAGCCTAACCCCAAGCTGAAGCCAGGTTTAAAAAACACCCATAATATATAAATGGTCTGTTACCCGCACTCCCCACCTACCGTGACAGTCTGCATGTGTTGGGTAGCTCCGAGCTCCACTCTATAGGCCCATTCATGGAATCTTTTTGCACTCCAGAAATTACACCAGACTTTTTCTTAGTAGTTATGTGAAACCTGAACGAAAAAAATCCCAGAAAAATACATCAGCACAAAGATCGAATTAGCGTCAGAGTAACTTGTGAAAGTCCAAAGATAATTCAATTAGTTGGAAAGTGACACAAAATTAATGGGTAATTCAACAAGTATATGGACTGGTTTTTTTGTTGTTAACAACTACATTTTTACCACAAACTTAACAAGAAGAACATTTGGTGATTTTATGAAAACGACAAAAAAGTCTTCTAATTCTTATTCAAAACTGAAGAAAATCTATCCACTTTACATTGTCTCCCTGTTTTTTCTGCCACCAAACGGTCTGAAGGGCAGTACGCCGGTCGCGACGTGGTAGAAGGTAATGCCGATACTCCAGAGGTCAATGCGAGCCGAGAAGGTTTTGCCTGTTGGCTGTCTCAAGACGGCACGCTCGTATAAGTCTGGATGCTGAGAGGCAAAGCAAGATACAGTTATAAGAGAAATATATGACCTCCCAGCAAGGGCGGATCCAGAACACAATTTTGGAGGGGGCCAAAAAAAATTTTGGTCCCCCCAAAAAGTTGGTCCAAAAAATTACGGCGTGGGGTTCGGGGCCCGCTTAAGGGCCCCGAAAAAATTTTGGATTCTAGAAGCTCTGTGGTGCGATCTGAGGCAATTTCTGACCACTTTAACCAATGTTTTTTGAGGAAAAGATGGTGGTGTACTCATTGCCTGCCTTTATTGCGATGTCACATTAAAAAAAAAAAAATTGGTTTCGTTTTGGGGGGGGGGGGCCATGGCCCCCTTTGGCCCCCCCCCTGGATCCGCCCTTGCCTCCCAGTCAAAATTTGGGGGAGGGGGGAGAAGGGAGTGATATAACATCTCTTGTTAGAACTTGATTAAATAACTACTGAGCCAATTTGCCGTACCCTATGTAAACCTGCTGCCTGCCACTTTCGTGCACAAATCTACAGCAAGCTCAAAATTGTGTACGTTTTTTTGTACAGATATTTACATATCAGCATTTGTATTCAAAATACATGTGTCTTTGAAGTTGATGCGCACAAAACTGAAACACAAGCAAAAATTTAAATGAGTGCTTTAATTCGCTCAGCGCAAACAACGCACAAGAGCATTTACCTGCTTCCGACAATTTTGTTCATACTGAAACCACACATAAGCATCTATGTTAACGTAACCTGGAAAAATGACACACTTGGCTTGGGGATTCAACTCGACACAAATAATTTAATTCAAGACCAGGATCTAAGAACAAGTCGCGAACTATTTTATTAAGAAAAGGATTTTAAAATGAAACAAACTTGAGACCAAAAAAAAACAAAGTTAAAACTACAAAACTGAGATAAAAAACTAAAACCAAAACCAAAACAGAGCGTCAAAATAGTGTACCCTAAATGCACTCTGACAGATGACTATAGCAGCTCAAAAACACACAGGGCAGGCGCTCCCAAGAAAAGGAGAAAGAGAGGAAACAACTCGCGAATAAAACACAACTCTCTTCTGTGCCGCTGGTCTGCTAAGTGAAGGGCTGTGGACTTACAGGGTGGCAGAGCACATGGTCTTAGGACAGGGGGGGGGGGGGGAAGTAGGGAACCAATGGCATAGGAGTAATTTACATCTAATAAAAATGCTGGATTTTCTCAGGGGGGCTACTCCTATACTAAAGCACACAGAATACATTGGAAAAATACAAGTTAACCTTGGCTCTGCCACATTAACTTTCGCGTGGCATTTAGAAAACTCACTGCTGCAATTCCAAATTCTCCAATTTTAATGTGTTCTACAATCAAAATATCTGCTCCAGGCTTATGAAAGTATCTTACGAAAAGGATGAGAAGTTATAACTAGTGCTCATTCATGATACATAAGTTGACACCCAACGGACTTACCAAATACTCTTCAGTTCCATATAGAGACATGAAATTCTCGTCATCTTGCAGCTCCCGCGCCGCACCAAAGTCGGCCAGTTTGTAGACCGAGCTGCCGTCATCACCAGTCACTATCATGATGTTACCTGGCTTGATGTCGCGATGGACAATGTCCAGGTCTCGCAGATGCTTCATGCCCGCACCTATGGACCAGGAACCAAATAGACAGTCAAACCAAGAAACAAAACGACAATCAAATATTCCAGTGTTTCTATGTAAACCATTCAGGGCATGCTACATGTATCACTGTACATTTGTGGAGGCCCCTTCAATGGCAAAAGCCTTATGTCGACTATGGTACAAAGCAACTGCTCCATGATGGATTAGCTAAACAAAAGCTGGCATGGAAAGAATGTTGCATCCTGACGCCACTTTTTTCATCATATATTATCTCAATGAAGGTCAGTCATTGCAAAAATGTTGACAATAGACATGAATTTGGGACTGAGAAACATTTCCAATTTTATTAGAAAATACTTAAAAAATGCACTCGACTCTCCATAGACTTTGTTCACAACCACAGAAGTGGTGTTAGGATTCTACATTCTTTCTGCTGGCACGATGCTTTGGTCACTGATGGCAACCGTGGGTGTATTTTGATAGCGTGTCCGGCATGGTCTACATTGAACATCCCAGTTTTTTTTACTATATCATACAATGAAAACCTAGCAGATATTTATACACATGCAATAAACAAATTTGCACACAAACAAACAAAAAGGAATGAGTAAGCAAAACACAACAGGAAAAGGGAAATGCACAACAAAAAAACCAAAAACAAAAAAAACAAACAAACAAACGAACAAATCAGTTGACTCACAAAACCCTTTCTGTTATCAAATGCTAAAAATTCTCTCTTCCACAAAAAAAGTCTCCACAGAAACCGTTCAGCGCAAAAACCATATGTGCAACTGGAGTTACCTGCAATTGACTGGCTGGCAGCATAAATAGACAAACACACAGACCAACAAAGATGAAAGACTCTTACAGACATCTCCCAAGACTCGCTTAAACTCCGCCTCCTCCATCCCATAAGAGTTCTTTGGGTCCTCCAGAAGACTATAAAGACTTCCCCCGGAGCACAGCTCCATGATGATGACTGGATTCTTGCTGATTTGCTACAAAAACAAAAAATCAAACAAATATCGCCTGTTTCAGAACATTTCAAAGTCCCTTTTGACAACATTATTATAAAGATTTAAAATAACATTTCAAATTGGGTCAAACTTAACAGGGGATGAACAATGACAACGGAATGCATCATTCATTGGGATAGCTTGTGATCACTTGTGATGGCATGTGCTCGACTTGTGTTGACTTGTGATGACATGCGATGACTTATGGTAACTTGTGATGGATTATGCTTGACTTATGCTTGTCTTGTGATGACTTGTGATGACTTGTGATGACTTATGATGACTTGTGATGACTTATGATAACTAGTGTATGACTTGTGATGACTTGTGATTGACCTGTTATGACCTGTGATGATTTGTGATAACTTGTGATTGACTTCTGATTGGCTTATGACTTGTGATGACTTATGAGGACCTGTGAAGTTATGATGACTTGTGAGGGACTTGATTACAATCGTTCCATGTTAGCAAGTTAAACACAACCTTCTTTGAGATTCTGCACTGTGCTCAACTCACGTCTTGTTCAATGTCAAACAGCTTGACGATATTTCGATGGCTGAGTTTGAGCAAGACGTCAAACTCTCTCTGCTGAACACTCTGAGGTCGCATGAAGCTAAGACTGTTGAAAGCCTTGGCTGCAACCAACTCACCCGTTTTCTGGATATATACAGAAAGGAGAAGGGGTTATAGGCTTAAAAAAAAACCGAGTCTGTAGCGAAAATACATGTACCTGTACATACATTTGCACGCCTCTGCTAACTGAATGATCCAATTTGTATACAACTGCTTTAATTCTATTATATTATTTTAACCATTTCACGTCGGGGGACATGTAAACACGATCCGGCAATGTACATTCGCAGGGGGGGGGGGGGGGGTGGTGACACATTAAATCGTCAAGCGGTGGACGTGTATACACTTCAGTGATTCCCATTGGTTTTGAACACACCATGTTTTGAACTTGAACTTGGCCACTGTACAAGGCCTGTTGTCGAAGCAAATATCAGAGTGTGCCAATCATGTTACGGTGAGAAGTATCGTACACATTTTGTACAAAAGAGTCAGTATTTGTGTTGATTGACTTAATTTTATCTTGTCTTATTCAAAAATGGTGTTTTTTTCAGCCAACAATAATCCTGACAGCAAGTTGTTTGAAGCATTGGCATTGCTTAGTCTATTATATTCATACCAGACCTACGTTTTTTTACAGGCACATTTATGAGAAATTTAACGTCTAATAAAACAGAAGTGAAGATGCTTCCATTTGAAAGCAGGTAAAATTATCCTGATGCGACTTTAATTTAATGAAAACATAAATGCCTGTCCCTTTACAAGTCTTAATCTGAAATGCTGAAATTACCCATATTTTCTTCGATTTTCTTTGGAATACCTGTAGTTGTGAACAGTTACCTGTTTTAGGGGAGAATTTATCAAATAAACACAATTGCCATTTTGAAATGGAATTGTGTAGCTTGAAAACAATCAATGTTAGGGTACAAATAGGATTCTTCACATACTCTTATTAATAAAGAGTTTGTGAGTTTCTTTTTTGGAAGAATATCTGTGAGAAAATGATATCCATTTGAAAAAATAAGTTGTAACTGACTTTGGGCAGGCAGGAGACGGCGAGATTCAAAAAGGTACCAAAATGGTGCTTATCGCATTTTGGGAACAAATCTCTTCATTTGTACAGTCATTTCCGGCTGACACACAAGCCAGATAAGCCATAGAAATGAGGGCTTTACAGTAAATTATCATTGTTGGAACAGAAACTTGTTTGAGTAATGGAAATATATACACAAATATTGAACTTTAATCTTCGGTTTGTTGATATGTATATGTATGTACAAAGTTAAAGGTCCGTTTATAAATATAGCACACAAGGGGTAACATTTTCTAACACTTTTTCAACATAAAATTGTTAAACGTGTCCAGTGACACGAAATCTTAGATTTAAGCTCATATTATCTAAAAGGTATAAAATGTATACATGTTAACTGAACTACATAAACATAAAAACTGTTGTGTAAAAAATAGCATTTTCCATTACATATGCCAACAACATGTTCACATTTAGTTATCCACCCAAATTTAACACTTTAAAAATTGCACATATAGGCCTATTTCTTTTAAATACATTAATACAATTTCTCAGCCCAGACAGATTATTAAATCTTAAAATTAATGTGGCCTGACGTTGCGAACTTAGCAAGTTCTTCTTCAGAGGCTAAAACAGACAGATTATTGTCATACATAATGTATGTGAGACAGTGGCGAGTCCAAGGGGTGCAGAGGGCGTGCCCCCCCCCCCCCCCTTGCGTGACTCAAAAGCTGGGAATTCCCCTATAGCACGCAACATACTGTATGTATACATGTTACTCATGTTGGATGAGCATGTACTATGTATAGTGTTTAGTGCACGTTTTGAGCTATATAGAGAGGATTTAATTTTGATAAAATTTACAGCAGGATGAAAAAAAAAGGGGAAATTCCATGCAACTTTCAGGAAAATGTTTGCGGATGAGAAATGTGTACTGTGCAATAACGTAATGTGTACAAATGGTAAGACAGAAGTACAAGAAATTTAAACAAGTGTGTAAGCCTTTCATACTGTATCCTGCTCCTATTACATAATTTGCATATGAATAAGCTTAATTGTTTGTGTGTTTATTTCCTTTTACGGGTACCCACTGTGTATCTACCGAATATATCCTGGTTCAACTACTTCCTCAACTATGAAAGTTGTGAAATTGTCCCTGAGGTTCACGGAAATTGAAAAAGGAAAAAAATATCAACCCCCCAAAAGTTCATTAAACAAAACAGAAGTACAATGGAAACTTATAATAATAAAGGAAATCATTCAAAGTTTAATAGTGAATGACAACAAAATGCTGAGTCAACGTAACACAGAGATTTACAAACAAAAAGGGAGCACCACTGTGCATTATACAACACAATAAACACAGCGCATATACTTGACTGATTCTATTGTATGGATCAATGGTATTACACGCAAGTACTATCAATAGTCACTATCTGGGGAATTCCCTTTCTGTTTCCCGAACTTACCACAATGGGTGGTCATAGCTTTTTTTATGCATTTATCATGTGATATACTGTGCATTGTACATGTAAATAGACTTTACAGATTGCGCTCAAAGTAAAGAATCATTGAGCAACAACTAAGTCACATTGGATAGGTTATTGAATACGCAGGCAAAAATGTTTCCATATGTTTAAATTTATCATATTCTTATTATAAATACACCTTTACAATACATGTCACGTTGGGTCATAAGTTGTCGTTTTGATTTCCTGCTCACAGATCCCGGTTTCAAAACCTTGAAACATTGATATCGAAAGTGCATTCTTTCATAGAATGTCTCTGAAACATGTGACCAAAATGATGAACAGGTAATTCTATTGGTTTTCACCAAACCACTTCTCTTTTCAGAGTAATATGTTACTTTCCTTGACATTGCCAGACTAATTTGTGAGTGAAGGGGATGCAGGATTTTGACTACACAATTGTCGATCTACAGTTACGGGCAGTAACAAAGCCACAAAAACTTTCTCTGAAATTTGCCAACCGCCAGATTATAACAAGAAAGGCACAAAATTCCATTCAATTGATTCAGAATGGCTATTCACTGGAAGTCTTTCCATGTTTCTGGTCTGATGCAATGAGCCGGATTGAGCCCATTCATTGGAATTGTGCGGTAATCGTATAACCGTCATCCGTTCCGAATACCGCAAAACCTTTGCGTGTTTACACATCATCCGATGTGAACTGTTTAATACTGGCCAAGTACATACATTTTGTATTTATTTCCATTCATAAATACATACTCGGTCAAATAATCAAAAGTTTTCGGTCCAAAAGTCAAAACAAAAGTCAAATTTTTTTAATTTCCTTGAACGATTTTATTCAACAATTTTACCTCATGTTTTTCGGGACACCCCTCTGGCTATATTATGGTATGTCCATTCTTGCTAGTGTCATAAAAAATCCTTTTATGGAGATTGGCGTGCGCGTTGGGCGTACTGTGCGATGTGGCACACAATGCAGCTGTGCCGGTGTATTGTGAAGTTAGGACTATGAAATTCTGACTCACTGTTAGTATTGCGCATGCCTACATGAGGATTGTGAAAGTTCAGTCAATAAAACGGTAAAAGGCACCGGATTTCATAGTCAGTCCAAATTTCATGTGACACTGGAAAAGTGTTAAGACCAGCCAGCCGGTCTTTATCAACTGTTTAAGACCGGCTTCATGATGGGCTCTGGAACAATAGGAATGGGTAAACTGTCTTAGGTATTTGTAAATGTGTATTTACACGTATGAAATGCACGCATCCACCAGTATTGGTGTTCAAGGCGCTACATCATCATTACCCTGCTCATTGGGCTAATGAAACATTCCAAAGACCATCTCAGCTCCCTGGGGAGTAAACAGCTCCATGCTGCCATTTCAGCACAAAGCAGCTTAAATCAATCACAATAACCATCTCTGCCCTTACAGGTACCCATTTACTCCTGGATGGAGAGAAGCAATGAGTAACAAAGTGCCTTGTACAAGGGCACACGCACCATAACCCCAGGCTGGACTCGAACCCATAACCTGCAGAATTACCCACAGACCACAAATTCAATGCTCCAGACCATGAGGCCACGGCACTCCTCAGCTGGCCCGTTAGTAATGGAAGACCCCGTTCCCACTTGATCCACCAATTGGGGGATCTGATCCACCTTTTGCCAAATTGCCGGATCAGATCCCCCAATTGGTGGATCAGATCCGGCAATTGTGTGTAGTGGGAACGCTAACCGTTATAAGGTGGATCAGGATCAGATCCACCTTTTCTGATCCACCTCTGGACCAGGATACAGATCCCCCAATTGGTGGATCAGATCCGGCAATTGCCGGATCACGATCAGATGGGAACGCAAAAGGTGGATCTGATCCGGCAATTTGACCTGTTAACATCCGCCCGGTGCACGAGTGGCGCGAAAATGTTGCGGTCTCATGAACGAAGAAACACGTTTTCAGGCGTGTAGCTCATGTGAACATTTCCAGCGTATACAACATGCACAATAAACAACCACTGAACTACGGGCAAGCACCGCGCATGCAAAAGCGCACGTGGTATCCTAAAACTACACTATAGGCCTTATTTTTGTTGCGTGTTCGTCCATTACTAAACCTTTTTCATTCCTGAAATTTTACTTATTTTTCCATCCATAAATGACTCTGAGTCCGCACTCACCAAAAGACTTCACTTAGGCACAGAATCATGGAAAAGGTTACGAGTATGCGATGAGAATAGTGCCGATAACGCGGTACGTACGGAGGTGACAAATCTCAAGTATTGATTATAGAAAATTGGAAAATGATGTCGTAGTACATCATGTGACCGTTTCTAACCAATGAGAAGCTTCAGAACCAGGGAATCCCTTATCGATGCATTGGTTTCTGCCGTGATGTCACACAATGAGCGACTCTGTTGGATTTCACCTGTTAATTTATGCACGCACGGATCCTCTACGGATCCCTGATTTATGTTGGTGAATTCGCGTAATTTTTGTCTGTGAATTCTGATAGTGCTGTTTGAAAACTGACCCATCCTGGCCTAGCATGCAACCATGCAACAATGGCACTCCCACAGAGCGCGCGTAATTCCGAACTCAGTGACCTTTCGGACCCAACATTTCCGTACGAAAAGGTGGATCAAGCATAAGTGGGAACGCGACTTGCGGTTTCGTTGCGGTAAGATAACGATCACACCAAAATGCCGGATCTTGATCCACCTTTTTCCAATTCAAGTGGGAACGCGGTGTTTGTCTAAAGTGGATGTCTAAGTTTTATACTTAAATAGATTATGTAGTTGAGTAAATACAAAAATGGTGTAGGGTCAGGGTGGCCAAAACACACCCATCGCCCTTCTTGTTAAAACCTTGGTTCTGAAACTATGGAAGCAGTTTATGCTACTTGCTAGCCACTTTTTCCAAAAGTAACACAATTTTGCCATAAAGAATGATAGTTTTTTCCAACATAAGTAAGATACAAATATAACATGGTTTGAGGGTGGATAGTCGATTTTAACTCCCAAGGTATTGGAAGTTGACAAACTAGTTTCAGAGGCGAATCCATCCAAAATAAACCAAGTTATCCTCAATATATTCTCCACTTTGGCATCACTGAGCTAAGGGAAACAATGATTATTTTGAGTGCCGGTATCTCTTCAGGTGTAGCTAGGGTGATGTTCACGCGTACATACTACACCCATGCGATAGTTCCAGGATTGCTTCGTAAGGCGCATTATTTACCCTGTGCATGAATACCTGCATGCGCGGCTTGCGCGCAAGATGGTGAATGGACAAGTGAGAATCCGGCTCTTGATAATGAATATGTATACATGTATGAGGTATAGTTCGCCACTGAGAACTTGAAGTGCTCAGTCTCATGTCCGGCAGAAAAGCCTGCAGTTATCAAAGGTCACACGGCAGTGATTCAATTAATTTCTCAGAAAGTAAGTTACAACCATTTATCTTGTTGACTTATTGGCACAATATAACAAAACAATTGTGAGAAAAAATCACTCGGGTGGGACTCGAACCCACGACCTCCTGCTTACTAGTGCAGACGTCTTACCAACCACCGAGCTTGCCAGGATCGGCTGGCTGGTTCGAATCAGATATAGCAGCGGGTACCGCAATAAAACAACAATTGTTAAATGTATTACCAATTTGACAGTCGAGGTAATTCTGATGGATTACAACTTAAAAGTCATCACAATTCCACCACAAGTCATTAAATGCAGTCACAAGTTTTTTCAAATGAACTGTGACAAAACCATACTTATGTTATCGTTTATCTGTGATTTACTTGTGACTGGACTTGTGATGAACTTGTGATCTATCACAAGAACCTTGTGATCCTTGTGATCCATCGTAAGTACCTTGAATTCACCACTGTATATTACCTTGTGCCGGCCCCTGTAGACAGTACTGGTTGCACCCGTGCCAAGGACATCGTTCAAGTACCAAAGGTACGACTTGGTGCTTCGGATCTGACTTGAAGCAGCCATGTTGATCGTCTTTGATGAATAAAGATCTGTATTGCAGCATCACAAAATGGTCAAACAAGTTAGATAATGAAATTATGCAAAGGGAGGGGGAGTGGCTTACCATCCTTTCTCCAACTGCCCAATGTTAATTATGTACATACGACAAAAAAATAATAATAATAAATAATGTTGATTGTTGTGTTTCCAGTATTTTAAACCTGACCTACCCAAGAGTATATGTTACGGGCGATTGGTGGATTTTTGCCAACATGCATCAGTCGATCACCTTTTCTTTCCAATTCATGGCTCTGGAGGATTGATTGTAATTGAAAAAGGGAAGTAAAAGTCTGAGATTTCCAACACAGGGTTGAATGATTGCTCAACTGCATTTCTGCACAATCGAGTGCTATCGCACCGATCCATCAACCCCGCCCACCACATAAATACATTTGCACCGTGGCGTAGGACTATGTACGTACGTAGCTTAGGACTTTTAAAATTAAACATATGAAAAAAAAATCCTATTTTTTATTTACTACTACTGTCTAACTGACCACTTCCTTTCGAATTCGAGCTCTCTCTCTGTCTGATGTCAGTGATGAACCGGCGACGTGACGTGACTGGAAATAGAATATTTTATTTTTAAATCAGAACATTTCGGTACGTAGAAGGCTGTAAATGTAGCACCAGCAGTACTTCTGACATCAAATGGTACATCATTTTCACGTCCTATCATAGTTGGAAAATACTAAACAGATTTTAGTGAGCAATAATCTTCAAAATAAACACACTATTTAATCCGCAACTGCGCAAGGGTAAGTCCCGTAGCCTTTGGAACAGCGCCCTCTAGAGGGCTCTCTTGACTGATTCTTTACAATGCCGGAAGAAAAATAAGACGTCCACGTGGTTCGAAAACAGCACAGAAAGGGATAAGGGGGTACGGCCGGCTACAAAGCTCATTAACATGGTTAAGAGGGTGGAAAGAATGTTGCAACCCGACGCCACTTTTTTCTCAATATATCATCTCAATGTCACAAGATGTGTGATTAGAGAAAATGATTGCAAAAATGATGATATACGACATGAATCTGGGACTGACATGACCATGGAGGAATCCTCCAACTTCCTCCATGACATGACTGAGTGACTTTTAGTTTGAGCATGCTTTGAGAAACATTTCCAATTTTGTAGGGAAACACTTTGTCTTTGCATGGAGGAAGGAATTGACTCTCCATAAACTGTACACAATCGCGGAAGTGGCGTCAGCTTGCAACATTCTAATTTTTGAAGTAAAAAGTGGCATTAGGTTGCATCATTCTTTATATATATATTTTTTTATGATCCATTCCTCCTGGTCAGTACTGCATGCCATGTACTGCATGTCATGGCATGTATGTTGTAGAGAAGGAGGGGGGGGGGGGGGGTAATCCCCATATATGCCCTGTCCATCGCTGCCATCCCATGTGGTGAATAGAATACTCAAAATATATTTTATGGTCATGTCCTTTAATGCCACACTGAAGACAATACTGCCATTGGCATCATTATAATTGGCTCCAATTTGTTTCACTTTTAATCTCACACATGCAGGTCTCTGTCGCTAAAACAGTACTTGCATAGTGAAGCATTATGGGTAAGATGGCAAGAAAAGCAGCACCAGAGAAGCGTACAGCCGACGCGCACCGACTGAAGCGTAACATCCAGAAAGGGAAGTCAACTGCCAAGAATAGAAAGCCGTCCAAGGAAGTGAAGAGGGGTGCTTCTGCGTTGCTTAAAGGTGATCAAGTGTTGCAAGCAGTGGGAAAGAGATCAAAACTGAAATTGCAAGAAGCTTTTCTCAATGAAAGTAAAGATGTAGTCGTTCGCAAGAGGAGACGTGGTACTGGTACTTCATCTAAGAAAGGAAATTTGGAAGTTAAGGCTAAGAAGACAAGAAAAATGACGCATTCTAAGAAAGTTCTCCTCTCAGGAAATCTTCTTGGGAAAGACAATCCGAATGCATCTGTCGGATGTATCTGGGAGGTCAACCCTTCATCAAGCGACACAGAGTTGAAAGATTCTACTCCAACATCCCCAAAAGATCACAAGAAGGCCACAGTTGCGAAGGTGTCTGCCAAGTCTGAGAAAACAGCAATTCACGATTCTCCATCCATCACCGTCGTGGACCTAGGCACAGATTTCAGATCCGGCATTCGACAGACTGTAAGCCTCGCCCAAACAAAGAGAGGAAAACGGAAGAAGAACAGGGAATCGTTTCCAAGGTCCCACCAACGAGGAGAGGACGTGCAACCTGAAACAAGAAAGTTATGGACTTCAATGGAAGACGTCTTTGTGCAAGGAGACAAACATGAAGGTTACGTGTCTGAGGAAAAGCCAATGCAAAGTGTGTTCATCGTTGATCTTGGTGTTAACCAATCACGTGGCGATTGCAGTAACACTTCACCAAGTCTTAAAAAATCTTCAAAGAGCAGATTAAATGCCAAGCCGACATCTGAGATTGTTTCTGCCGAAGCGTCTGGGAAGGGTTTCGAATCCATCAGTAATGGTTTGAAGCAACACAAAGATCAAATTCAAACAGATGAAAAAGCTATCCAAGACATAGGAAATGCTACATGTACCCCTAAGAAGGGAGTGGCAAAACGAAAAGAGAAAAGGACGTCTTCCAAGAAAGCTGTTAAGAAATTGAAAAGGGGGCATCGTCTTGAAAACAACTCTCCGAGCGAGGAAGATAATGAGGCAGGGGCTTCTTCCAGTCCCATGAAGGAAGCAACGAAGAGAAAGACAAAAGCAAAAGAGGACATTTCTGAAGGAAGTCTGATGCAAAAGACAGCAAAATTTTCCAAGACAAAAACTGGTCAGAAAGAAGAAGAAAATGACCGACAAGATGGAGACAAACAAGATGGCGTTGTTCACAGTGATTCCAGTCACGGCCAGTCGGTTGCGAACAACCAACCAGGAACTGCCGAAAATTCACCGGATGCCATTCATTTGGAACCAGCTTTTAATGCAACCACAGAGGATGCTGTTGACTTAGAAGATGACAATGGTCGATCTTCTGAGAGCCCCATGGATGAGAGAGAAGCTGACGATGATGCAAGTCCTGTCGATCAGCCCCTTGAAATGGAGATGCAGTTTACTGACAAAGTCCAAAACCAGCCGTCCTACAGGTAATTTCAAGTATTTCTTTTTCCTCATAAAGATTTTTTTTTTTTTAATATCTTCGTAGTTTATGATACACAAAATGTGCCACAGGTTATACTATTTGAAGAAAGTGGTTCAAGCTCTGTAGTTTTCAAAAGAAACGTTTCTCAGATTAATCCTAGTGTTCTTCTCCACAGAATCATCAAGCTTTTAAAAAGTGACCAATGCCTCCTGCTGCTGCCACACCCAAGCAAGTTTAGTTTCCATGGCCGAGCACTGGTCCGCGCCCTTCATGGCAGCGTCACAGTTCTCGGTTTTCCAATCTCAGCCGATGCGGACCCCACCTTTTACCCGCTGTATTCCCCAAGTAGCTCTTGCGCACTCTGCTTGGAGACGTTGCATGGTTGCCTTGGCAACATGGGTGAGACTTCATCCCGGAGCCTAACGGAGAGTCTTGAGGCATTCTTGGGAGCAGAAGACGAAACGACGGTAGCTTCAAGTCTTCAGGGTCTGGAGGAGTTTACAATCGCCCTCATCCTCAAGAAAATGCCAGAGGACCACGTCGTTGCATACGTGGAAAGCTTTCCTGGATTTGGGAATCTGTTCAGTAGTCCGGAACCCAAAGAGGTACAGTTGACAGTGACTTGACATAAGATTTTGCAAGTTGTCAAAACAGGGTCGTTTGAAGTTGTTTGTGGAGTGCCACCACTATTTCAGGGCTCATAGCTCAAGAAATTTCATTAGACCAGAAGTTTTTAAAAACAGTTGTTCCAAAAAGGGAAGGACACGTTTTAATTTTAAGGTGTAAAAATAAACAACAGAGGGTGTTATTTTATATCATATTCAGGTAATTAATTTTGTCACATCTATTTCTCGTAACCTCAGTACACCCAGCCAGACGAATCTTGGAGCTCCAATCTTTCAGCAGCTGCAACCGTGGGGATTCAACCCACTGCCCCCAACACTCCCGGCACAGTGTTTAGCACCCTCCCCGGCTACCGGACTGTCACCCAGTCATTAAACGCCTGGCATCGTGCCAGTCATTTCCCCACGGTGGTGCTGGTTTGTGGCTGGAAGAACACCGGAAAGTCGACCCTCTGCCGCTACCTGACAAATTCAGTCCTCTCCAGGTATTGTTGATTCAAAACTTGAAACTCGTCTTTGTTTATTAATCCTTACCCTCCAAAATACTTCTAAATCGTCTCTAAGATGTTGGAAGATGTTGGAGGATTTTGAAGTATGAGGGAATTAGGTAGAGCAAAGGTTTGTTACTTTACCGGGGAATCAGTAAACTTGAGTACCTAGACTTTGCCATTAGTTTTCTGCACATTGTTAAATTTTTGAAGATTCACAGAGCTTCCTGGCAAAAACAAACCCAGGAACGTTTGTGTTGGGTTTGCATTGTTGCTAGGAACCTTCCGAAATCCTCTCAAATCCAGTACAGGGTAGGAAGTTAAGTTTTGATGTCTGAGCTCTAACTTCTTAACCCTAACCCTCCTCGATCCTCTGAAATCCTCTGGGCAGTTTGGGAGGATTTTGGAGGATTGAGGCTGTATGGTAAACAAATGTCGGTTGATTTTGAATGATGTAGAGTGTTGAGTTCTTAGACTGTACGTATCCAGCATTGTTTATGTCCAGCCATGCAAAATTGAGCCCTGCATTATGCTCGATATCATCCGCACTGCTTCTGAATGTCACTGGCATGCCTCAACCCATTAACAGTGATTGTTGGAGGAGTTTGAAGGATTGAGGCAATGGTCACCCCTCTACTCAACAAATTCAAGAAATAACGAATGATTTTGAAAGATTGAGGCTAAATATTTAATATGGGTGGCATTTGGAGGATTTTGCAGGATTGAGGATGGTTCCCAGCCGTAAGGGCCCTGGGGAGTTAGGGATAAACTGCAAAATTGTCTGAAACCTCTGGTTGGATTATTAAAAATCTTTGAAACACCTTCTCTAGAAGAGTAGGAGTTAAGTTGACCTAAATTCTACTCGATATTGCTGTTTTCACATATGAGGAAATCTGCTCAAGTATGAATGACACACTTGAGTTTTTGTCAGTTACACGTGTTGATGTCTGTTATGATAAGTTTCTGTCAACTTTTTATTTTGTTCTGCATTTTTCAGTGTGGAAAGTGTTTGCTATCTGGAATGTGACATGGCACAGACGGAGTTCACAGCACCGGGCATACTGTCACTCCAGTGCATCTCACAACCGTTACTAGGTATACATCAATGTTATCTAGCATTCAAATATAGTGATCCATCCATTAACCCTCCTGTGCAAACGTACATTCTGTGTCAAGTTGTCCTTCCAGTCAAAATCAATCAAGTGACTGTTTTCAACAGTTAAAGAATTCCCAGCCAACATAAAGCAGGATTGACTGGCTGGGACTGTTTAAGTAACTTAATACAGCAATGCTTTGACTCCAGGCACATGATAAAACAGCTGTGCCTACAACTTGCCTGCTTTGTCTGTTGACCCAGTTTGACTAGTCATAGTGCTTGCTTGTCATCTGATCTGACTGCTTGTGACTAGCCTTTGTTAAAAGTATAGCAGGGGAAGTGGAAGTGAATTTTGACTGTCTGTGACTGTTTAAATAGCAGGAGGATTAAGAATTCATAAGATGATTTTGCATCGGTGTAATGTAAATCAATATTAGGTTTTTGCCCTTCACCGACGTATTAATACTTTATACTCGGTGTGTTGCCTCCTGAGTGAAAGTTGGAAAAAATCACTCGGGTGGGACTTGAACCCACGATCTCCTGCTTTCTAGTGCAGATCTTCCCACTCGACCAGCGAGCTTGCAGGATCGGTTGGTTGGTTCAAATCTGATGTACATGTAGCAGCGGGTATCGCAATTTAACTGTTCAAAAGATGAATTTACGTCAGTGAAGGGCAAAACCTAATAATTGAGGAGGGTTAAGCCCCGCCCCATGATGTTTTCACCAATCACCGCCATGATTAATGTCCCACATATGTGCACAAAGCTCCAACATGCGCGTATATGTGCATGACGCAGGCAACTGGAACATGCAGTGTGGCATTGGAGAGATGCTTGTGTTGTTGCTCATGTGTGCGGTGGGCGTGGCTGAACAGATCAGCCCATGTGTGCAGTGGGCGGGGCTGAACAGATCAGTCTATCACACATGGACCAATGGGAAGCCACTACATCCCCTTCTCAGGCGTATGTTACTAGATAATGACAGGTTTGCGGAAACACCATGTGCGAATAATTTCTCAACTAAGAGAATGGTTCTGAAAAGAACCAGAGGTATAAACTCGACATTCCGGTCAGTATGCTCTGACCGTCTTCAGGAGAGTGCCTAAACTCTAAGAAAGGAAATACTTAAGTAGCAAAAGGGAAATCGATGAAGTGTGAAGTAGCATCCTGTGTAGATGCCAAGTAGCTGGGATCCTAGAGCAAGCTTGGTGCCCACTGTATGTTACTGTTTGCCGTAGCCAATCAATTGACCCATCGCCGTTTGCGAGTTAACCACACCCCTTAGACAACCCCATGGAATTTTGTACGTTCAGTTCTGTTTGTCTCAGATTTTGCGCAATCCGCGTCCATTTGTATATATCATGTAATTGGACAATATTTCACAAGCTTGCGTTGACGCGATTCTACCGCGATAGGTTAATTCAGACTTGGCCTTAGTTTTTCAGAAATTGGAAAGTATTTGCAAACTGTTTTACTTGGGAAAGGGGTACGTAACATTTTGCAACTGAACTCTCAATTTTGGTTTTGAAATGCAGGTCCGCCCTTCACACACTCCAGAAAAGCCGAAAAGTAAGTAATTTAGTGCATGCAATGACCATGAAAGTTTTTCTTTAAATGGCACCCCCCCCAAAAAAGATTAACTTCATTACTTTTTAATGGTTTATATCAAGTTGTGGCAAAACATCGGTGAGGTTTCATATGATTTGTGACTTGGATTTCATTTGAAGACCCTACCCAATTTTCGGCCTTTATTTTTTTGTGTTTGCAGAGTGTTGTGTCGTCAGTGTGTTCTTCAAAATCCTTTCCTTGTTTATCTTTGCAGGATGTGTTTCTATGGCGATGTGAATGTCCGTGGCGATCCTGAGTCCTATCTTCAGATGGTCAAATATTTGTACCAGCAGTACCAGACGAGACATGCAGACAAGCCACTCATTATTAACACCATGGGGTGGATGCAAGGTACCAGACTATAAACTCTGTGCAAAAGTACGCACTCAAAAGTTACTTTTCCAAAATCTCTGTTTGGTCCAACATAGAGATTTTGAGTAACCCTTTCACTCTGGCAAGAATCCAACACTGTCTTATACAGGGTGAGTAAAAAAAATCGAAACCCAAATGTTGGGGCCATTGTTTTAGTGAAGTTCTAAATGTAGCACTCTCAAAATCTAGGATATGAAAGCCTAATGCATATGCTTTCTTTTAGTACAAGAATCATTCAAATCACTCATGTACTTTTCAAGTTACGGACTTTCAAACACAACCACCATTTTAAAGTTCTGTCCATGGATCACAAAAGAGTAAGTGTTTTTTTTAGCAAATCAAAAACAAATCACACAGGGATGTGTGTGAATTGTTTTCGTTTTGCTGAAAGAACGCACACCTTTTGTGTGATCCGTGGACATAACTTTAAAACGGTGGTTCTGTTTAAAATTCCATAACTTGAAAAGTACATGAGTGATTTGAATGATTCTTGTACTAAATGAAAGCTTATGAAGTGGGCTTTTATATCCTAGATTTTGAAAGTGCTACATGCAGAACTTCACCAAAACAATAGTCCCGACATTTGGGTTTCATGTTTTTTGACTCGCCTTGTACACTGTTCCGGTACTCTATGCGGGTAAAATCCAACCATGCTCAGGACTAGAGTAGAGAGGCTGTACCTGGGTTAAAGGTAGAGGTCCCATAGCCATTACTGCATGGCCGTAAGGGCAGTGGGATGTTAGAGGTCCACTGTGTCTTGGGCGCGGCATATGAGTGGCGGTGCCCAGTCCTCTCCTCTCTCCGTCTTACCTTCCCTGAACAAAGCAGGTACCCATTTTACGGTTGGGTCATCAGAGAGAGTTTTCCATTTTTTGTTCCGAATGGGATTCAACCTGCCAACCATGGGCGTCAATCCTGGGGGGGACAGGGGGACATGTCCCCCCCCCCCCCACTTTTTGAAGGGTGGGGGACACAATATCAAATGTCCCCCCAGATTTTTGAACTTGTGTCCCATTTACAGGGCCCTATTATGTACTTCAATGTATCTTTTGCTGAAAAAATATTGGTTAAAGTGGTCAGAAATTTCCTTAGATAGCACCACAGAACATTTAGAATCCAAATTTTTAGCTCAGAATTCTGGTAGCCAATTCAATGACTCCAACCTCGAAAACGATGTTCAAATAATTATCTTTGGCTACGAAAATATTAGTTAAAGCATGGAGAAAAGTGGTAAGAAATTGCTTCAGATCACACCACAGAGCATCTAGAATCCAATTTTTTTGGGGACCCTTAAGCGGACCACGAACCCCACGCCGTAAGGGCTTCGCGCTTCGCGCTCGCATCAGTTCTGATCAACGTATGTCCCCCCACTTTTGAGAAGCGATTGACGCCCCTGCTGCCAACAGCTTCAACTCCGTAGCTCCATGCTCTAACTGCTCGGCTACAAGACCCCCTCGGGGTAGGAAATTCTAAAATGTACAGCCGACCGATGAATACACTGTTGTCAGCGCAAATGGTATGCCTTGCCTCCTCGTGTTCGATGGGACCAGTTCTGCGTATGGTGGACCCATGTTGAATTCAACATGTTTGGTGAGACCGTAGTGTGAACAGGGCAAAAGAGAAAGTTGGGAGGAATGCTCACAACCTGAGTGATGTAGTTGAGTCCATCACAAGTCTTTGCAAGTCCATCACAAGTCAAGTTATCCAGTCCCAAGTCAACTCACAAGCTATTCAAATGAACTGTGATGGACTGATTCATAAGATGGAATTTTGTGTCGGGGTGATGTTAATTTAATATGAGGTCATGCCCTTCACCGACGTGTAAACGCTGTATACTCAGTGTGTTACCTCCTCAGTGAAAGTGAGAAAAAATTCACTTGGGAGGGAGTCCAACCCATGACCTCTTGCTTTGTAGTGCAGACGTCTTACCACTCGACCATGGAGCTTGCGGGATCGGTTGGTTGGTTCGAATCTGATATATTTTTTTCTCATTTTCACTCGGGGGTAACACACCTAGTATACAGTGTTTATATATCATTGGTAAGACGTTTGCACTAGAAAGCAGGAGGTCGTGGGTTCGAGTTCCAACCAATGATTTTTTTCTCACTTTCTCTCTGGGGTAACACACTGAGTATACAGTGTTTATACATTAGTTAAGGGCAAAAGCTAATCTTGATTTGTAATGTACTTGTGATGGACTTGTGATGGTCCTGTGATGGACTTGTGACAGATTTGTGATGGACTTGTGATGGTCCTGTGATGGACTTGTGATGGACTTGTGACAGATTTGTGACAGACTTGTGATGCTCTTGCAACACCTGTTACAGTTTTCTATCAAATCACTCACTTAGGCCTCGGACTTCAGTTGCTGATTGACATCATCCACATCACCCGGCCGACTCACATCGTCCAGCTGTGGTCTCGCATCCAGCCCCGCCTCATCCAACGACTGACTCCAGAGTTTCTTGAGCAGACTGAGGGCTGGTGGCACCGTCCAGCTGATGACAGGAGTGATGGGAATGACAAGGGCAGAGACGGGGCACTCTGTCCCCATATACTGGAGGTTGATGTGCCAAATGTTGGTGACCAGGCAGGGTAGGTGGATGGAACAGAATTGAGGGGGCTCAAGGGAGCTGGTTAAAGTTACTCAAGAATTTTAAATGTTTATGTTCGAATTTAACCCCCCAAAAAGCCTGTTCTTTGCTGGTCCCAGAGGGCCAGCTTAATGTCCTGTATGTACCTATCTCACTGACTGACTGACTTATTGTCACTTGACGAGGATCAGCTTTACTAGGCTAGTTGGCCAAGTTTTTTTAATTTTTTCAATTTTTGTCGCGTCAGTGCAACAAGGTCATAATTCCATTCTGCAACAAAGTTGTATCTATCTCGCATGAATACGCTCCTTGCAACAAGGTTGTATCTCGACGTCCATTGACTTTGTGTGTACATCTGGGTTATTTTAAGTGAGATACAACCTTTTGACATTCTGAAACTTTCGTTTCACATACGGCCCATTTTAGGAGATACTACCTGTTGCACGGACATGACATTTTGTGTATCTGCAAGCCTCTATAAAAAAAAATTATTGGTTTTGGTTGCTTTTACATTGTCAACACGTAAAAATATCTGCCTAAATTATTGTTGAGTTGCAAATAATTCAAAATCTGAAAAGTAATTATTCCAAAACTAAATGTGGATGGACTTTTCATTTGATATCTTATTCAAAATTGAATTAATTTTGTATTGCTAGAAATATAAGAGTTCAAAAAAAATTGCTTATTGCTAGTGCTTATTGTTAGCGCTGTAAGCACATAATGGTTATCATTAACACAGATTTCTGTGGTTAGCAGAGATTTCTGGGTCTCAATAGCATTAAAGTAACTGAAATTTTTCTGTCCAAAATTTCAGCACCAAGTTCAAGGCATCGGACCACCGGACCATGGCCCTGCTGGCTTGTTTGAGCAAACTACAGCCCTCGCCAATGTCCCCTGCACCAGTTGCCCTGTCGTCTCTGACCCCATTGGTGTTACCATGGAAATCTGTTGCCGTGCATGTGACCAACGGCCACGTCTCGCCAAGGCAGGTCATGTATGCACTGAACGGGTGCATTGTGGGATTGTGCTGTGCTGATCCGTCTTTGGTAAGTCTATGTTATCCATGGAATGACAACCTATGATCTTTATTCAACACATAAATTTTCCTGAAGTCCTTAAGAACTTCAAAGAATTTAGCCCCAGTGTCAAGCATAACCTGTTTGAATTCAAAATGCTTGGATATAAAAAGAGTTTTCTTTCAATTTTTTCCCTCCACAGATGAGGTCTATCTCTCCAGATCTCCCGAGAGTGTTTGACTCCACCCCTGTGTGTAACTGTCTTGGATTAGGTAATCTCACTCACTAGCTTAATATTTGTCCCACCACCATCCTCCTTCAGGAAAACTCTGACATAGCAGCCATGCTTCTTCTTAATAAAAATTAAGTCCATTCCTTAACATGCCTTGATATGGTCCTATTAGATTTGAGTAAAAGTAGTCTATGATGAACTAACTTACACCAGGAAAAATATTCCCTTATTATGTCTGACAATGGTGTATTTATTACAACCCACTCTCAGTTAACAAAGATAAGTCCAGCCCTTTTTAGCTCAGCTCAATGCAGGCCAGCCTAGCCTATCTGACTGGGATGGAAAGTCTGGCTAGACCCAGTCAGACCCAGCCTTGCCCAGTTTAGCCCATCCTCGCCCAGTTCAGCCCATCCCAGCCCAGCCCTGCCCAGTCCAGTAACCCAGTTCAGCCCAGCCCAGTCACCCAGTTCAGCCCAGCCCAGTCACCCAGTTCAGCCCAGCCCTGCCCACAGCCCTGCCCACAGCCCTCCCAGCCCTGCCCCGCCCATCTGAGTCAAGCTGTGCCCCCAACTAGACCCAGCCCAGCCTAGCATCAGTATCTGGCTAACTTGTTCTTGATTACACCTCCTTTCTGAAATGTTCAGGTATCATCAGAGGAATTGACCCTGTTCAGAAACTCTTCTACGTCCTGACGGGAGTGTCCCAGGATGCATTGCAAGAGGTCAACACACTTCTCAAGGGTCACTCACCCTACCCCAACCACTTTTGACACAGGTAAGGTTGGAAACAGAAACACTGAATCATAAACCAGCAAACTATAATGATAGCGTTGCAGTCGATTCCTTCACAAGTAAGTCACAGGTCACTTGATACTGACTTGTGATTGACATGTGACTGACTCGTGGTTGACATGTGACTGACATGTGATTGCTTTGTGAATAAATGGATTTCAACTCTGTCTTCCTTATTTCATCCTCTTTTTCAGGGTCATTGTGTCAAAGATGTTCCATACCTCTCTCGTGAGTTCTCATCAGTAGTCATTGGTTCTAGTGCAATCAAAGTACGTCGGAATATCAAGCAACGAGGGCGGTAAAGTCGAGACAAATTCTGACCGATCTAGGAGCCTACAGTTCTGCTGAAAGATTAGACGTTTTCAAAAAGCAGTTTCATGATATTTGTCTTATCCAGAAGTGTTAATAAGTTAATTCCAAATATGTTGGGAGCTTATATCAGCTTTTATCAAGACTTTTTGTCAAGTACTGCATTGTCTTCTTTTTCCCCCTTTTTTTTTTAATTTCATTTGTGACAAAGATGTCAGAATATCACTGTAAACAGGAATTTAATATTTATTCACAAGATGATTAAATATAACAATTTTATGAATTCACACCATTCTCAACTATAGTTCCTGGTAATTTATGTTTAAAAACATAAATTTAAATGTACTGCATGTATTCAAAGGTATTCATCAAAGATTTTGTTGTTAAAATTGGTAGCGCCTGCCTTTCCATCCTAAAATCAAATTATGTTGTATATTGTGATGACAATAAAACTGAGGCTCCCCATCGATCTTTTGTAGTCTGTTTATTTCGTGGATGGCCGATATAGGCAAGGAACCTGACTTATATTAATAGGTAAGGTAGTCCAGGGGTTGCAGGTTCAAACCCTGCTCTGGTAATTTTCTAGTCCGAGAACCTCCAAAAACCTGATATTTAAATATACATGTAGTAGTGAATATTAAAGTATAGAAGAAAACTGAGAGAACATGCTAAAACTTTATGAACTCTTCTGCAGATTTTTATTTTATCAAAATGTTTGTCCAACCTTGATTTTTGCTGCTATAATGTTAAAGAACTATTAAAAATAAAACTTAGTTTAAAAATATTTGCGTTTGAAAAAGTACTACTTTTCTTGTGTCGGAAGTCCCATGATTTGGAAACTTTTAATTCGTCCACGAGGCGGGTACCGAAAAATACACGTGCCGAAAATATATCTCCCAGTGATCGGGTAGGGCGCCACCAGTTGTATTGTTTATCTGTAAAAGTTTACGGGGGGGGGGGGTAATGGAAATCCGTTCCAAACATTTTTCGTTCTTGAGTCGTAGAATGAGGCTCCCACAAAAATGGTCTCAATAGAGGAAGTAGATTAATTGATACGTTTGAGCAAACATCGTAAGAACATCATTTTGATATGATGTTCCATACCTCTCTCGTGAGTTCTCATCAGTAGTCGTTGGTTCTAGTGCAATTAAAGTAAGGCGGATATCGTGGAGCTATGTGGAAATATCTAGCAACGAGGGCGATAAGTCAGGACAAATTCTGACTGATCTAGGAACCTACAGTTCTGCTGAAAGATTAGACATTTTCAAAAAGCAGTTTCATGCTATTTGTCTTATCCGGAGGTGTTCTTTAATCAGTTAATTCCAAATATGTTGGAAACTTGTATCAACTTTTATCAAGATATTTTTTTCATGTGCGCAGGGCTGTCTCTTTATCCTTTTTTTCAATTTCGTTCAATTTTGTTAATTCCATTTATGACAAAAATGTCAGAATATCATTGTAAACAGGTATTTAATATTTATTCACAAGATGATTAAATATAACAATTTTATGAATTTACACAATTCTCAACTGTAGTTCATGATAATTTATGTATAAAAATTGAAATTTAAAATAATGTACTCAGATATTCAAAGGTATTCCTAAAAGATTTTGTTGTTAAAATTGGTTGCGCCCGCCTTTTCATTTTAAAATCAAATTATCTTGTATGTTGTATATGTGGACAATAAAACTCAAGGCTCCCCCTCCCCCATCAAAATGTTGTTTGCTTGTTATACTTAGTAGGTAAGGTAGCCCAAAGGCATGGGCGTCGCCAGGATTTTTTTCTAGGGAGGGGGGGGGGGGCCAAAGCACATTATTTCCGAAAATACTTGTACTCTCTCTAGCATTTTCTCAATTTATCAATTTTCGAGGGTGGGCGGGGGGATATTTGCCCACCCCATCCCCATTGACACCCCTGCGGACGCACATTTTGTTAAATGTGCATTAAATTAACAGACTTCGCCTCTCGTATTCTTGTTCCCCCCCCCCCCCCCCCCCCCCACCCCGCGACGCCCATGTCCAAAGGTTCAAACCCTGCTCTGGTCAATTTTTAGTCTGAGAACCTCAGAGAACCTGATTTTATTTAAATATAGTAGTGAATATTTAAGTTAAAAGGCGAAGACTTTGAGAACATGCTAACTTTTATGAACTCTTCTTCAGACTTTTTTTATCAAAATGTTAATCCAACCTTGATTTTTTGCTATAATGTTGAAGAACTATTTAAAATAAAACTTAGTATAAAATATATGCGTTTGAAAAAGCAGTACTATTCTTGGGCCGGAAGTCCCATGATTTGGAACTTGATGGCCCGTTGAATTCGTCCTCTCATGGCGGGTACCAAAAATAAACGTGCCGGATTATCTCCCAGTGATCGGGTAGGGCGCCACCAGTTGTATTGTTTATCTGAAGAAAAAAAAGTTTATGGGGGAAATGTTTAGAAATTTTTGCCGCTCTCGCTTCGTAAATTTATAGGTGTCCCACAAAGTTGTCTTAATAGATAGAAGATGTATATTAATTGACGTTTTTCAGGAAACATCGTAACAACATCATTTTGATACAAGGGCAGATCCAGAACACATTTTTTTTGGTGGGGGGGGGACCCAAACATTTATTTGGTCCCCGAAAAAGTGGGTCCCAAAAATTACGGCGTTGGATTCTGGCTTAAAAGGGCCCCGACATTTTTTTGGATTCTAGATGCTCTGTGGTGCGATCTGAGGCTATTTCTGGCCACTTTAACCAAATCTTTTGGCGGAAAAAAGATGATGGTTTACGCAGTGCCTGCCTTTATTGCGACGCCACTTAAACAAACTTGGATCCGCCCTTGTTTGATATGATCATCCCACACCTTCGTGAAGAAAAATACTGATGAGCTAGGCTACAATCTCTGCAGGAGGTACTTAAATACCACGGAGACTATATAGTCTAGAGTAAATGTTCCTCAAACAAAGAAAATATCCACTGTGGCTTTCCCGGCTCATCGATATTGTTTGTCATGAATAGGACGGGGTTTTCCAAGCGCTTTTTTCTTCTTCTTTTTTGGCGGTGGCATTTTTAATTAAACATCTTCCCGGACCGTCATTTCACTCCAGACATTCGTCAAATTCCCATTCTTAAAAAATCTGTCCCGCTCGTGATGATTAGTAATTGCATCAGTCAACATCTGTTATTCCTCTGAAAAATGAAAAACTAAATCTGGTTTGAATTTGTTCGTTTGTTAGTACTTTGTTTGTGGTTTGTTTATACATGCTTAGTGTATGTAATAGAGGGGGGGGGGGGGGGGGAGACGAAATGTGAGTCAGGTTGACTGCGGTTTAGTCGAGAATTTACAGCAACCGTTTATTGACCTGGGTACCGGTGTCACGGTCTCACTTCTCCGGCGTGCTAGCTTCTCCGGCTGGATTCGGCGGATATTTGAGCACGTTACATGGCACGTTGCATGAGCACGATACATGCTCAATGTCCGCTGTGCTTACTTTTCTTGGGGCTGTTCTCAAGTCCATAAATAACACAGTGAGGAACACCAAAGAATGTGTTATATAACACTTCCTGTGGGTCTTGCAACTGGCATTCTGATTTGTGATCCCAGCGTCATGTACGTGTGCGTGTTCATTGAGGAATAATTAAGAACGAAATCCTTGGTCTGTGTTCCTTGCTCGTTCGCGGTCCATCACATGTCCAATTTGTCTTTATTTTTGCAACCACGGTTTAAACAAATGTGCATCAAGTCTTTTTGGTTATTGGGAGTTGCGAGCGGGCGCGCCGCGCTACCAAAATTCTGGATTCGACTGGTAGTGGTACCCAGTAACGTGTACATACAATATCTTAAGATCTTACGTGCACCATCCCAAAGAACTCAGCACACAAATAAAGTTGGCAAAAATGTTCACTACTGCGCAATTTTGTGCATGCGTGTTGCAGCGAAATTTCCCTCTTGGAGAAGCTAGCACGCCGGAGAAGTGAGACCGTGACACCGGGTGTGGGCCTGATGGCGCTATTGGCAAATAAACACGCTGCTTGCGAAATACATTAAATATTCCCGCCCAGTGTCTTGTATTGTCAAATTTAGAACATATCCACAACGTCACCACCATTATTAGGGAAACGAATATACTCGGTAAACAAGTGAATAAACTTCTTTAAAATCCACTGGGAAAAAATAAGTGGTCTCGGGCAACACCGTTTTCATTTTGTGTGTGCATGTGTCACGCGTGCGCATTTTGTGTCGCACGCATGCACTGTATACTTGTACGATCGAGTATCACGTCACAAACTTTCATGCCAGATAGCAGTGGAGTCGGATTTACATCGTGCTCTCAAAACCGCCCCAAAATGGCAGCATTTACTCGGAATTTACCCGGTGTAACCGCTACTTTCAAGCTCCTTAGACAAGGTGAGTTGGTCAGACCACTTTTCAGTTTTGGATAAGACGTGTTCGTGGATTTTTTTCGGGGAAATTGAGTAATTTTTGTTGATGTGTTTTCAATTTTGGAGGCTGGGCTGTCTGGGCCACATGGTGCGTGAATGTTGCATGCTGTGTGGTCGTGACTCAACAAGTGAGCCATTCATTGATTGTTTTGTACTCACGGAAGTTTCCCTTAACTTTAAACCAATGATAATCTTTTCCTGCCGCTAACATCGACTCTTCGGACTATGAATATTGGAATGATCACCAGCAGTTTTACAGTCCGTCAGCGGGCCGATTTTCTGATGATTCGTAGTGCTGTTCAGTCATTTTTTGTGGCCATTTTGGCAGGCTGGGTATTTCACTGCTGAAATTGAAAGTTGCCGCCGTGCGCGCCCCGCGTCCAAAAACACTGTCCTTATATCTACGTGGCCTACGTGCAAGATAGATAGAGCAGACAGAAAATCTTTTGGAAAAAAAATCCATACTGGGCCATCACTCAGAGCTCCTGCACAAAGTCTATGGGCCATGACAGAACATTTTAAAGTATTATCAAAGAATTTTTGCACTCGTTAAACAGTGTTTCTTCATCAGATTTACAACTTTTGGTACTTTTCAGGTCATATTAACTTTTTCCCATTTCCAATTTTGTTAGGAAATACAGAAATTTTCTTGACTCTCCATGATACTTGATAGACTTTGTACACAACCACTGAAGTGGCGGCTATCTGATACAGTCATTTTCCTAGTTCCGGATTTTTCCTAGTTCGGATAGCTTCAAATAAAACCTACCTCTTTTGGATTAGTCTCCAATAGTTTTTTTTTGACGATGTGCATTTTGAAAAGAAAAATGGGAAAGATTTCCATATACGAAGTTCACTCAACACTCTGTGTACAAACCCTATGAGAGAGGACTGAAAAATTGTAAGTGTTTTCTAGGAAAATGCTTGTATTTTCTCACTGCTCAAATTGACTTTGATGACATGAAATTGCTATCTGGGGGCTTGTTAGTCAATACAGAGGAAAATTAGTGAACTTCGCATATGGTAATCTTGCCGAAAAATGTAAGCTCCTTGATACACAAAGATTTTTTCCGATAAAATATTAAGGAGAGGAATTTTGGCCATATTTCCGACTCACACTTCGACATGTTTGGACGGTTTGTAGAAAATCGTGGGAGCTGCGAATCGACGATAAATTTTTCTCCTCGGTAGGCCTATATCAAGTTGTACCGTGTGATTTCGAATATTTTGTTCCATACACTACAGTCGTATAAACTCTTCCATTGAATGCTTGTTGAATCAAAATATATTTTTGAAAATTCGCTAACGAATGATCGTATGCTTTTGCCTAGTTCTGGATAGCGCGTGCACTTACGACCCAACTACACGCGCTTTAATTGATTTTGTGTGACGTATTCTGGGCTGGGCCAAAGATTTTCGGTCTGTGTGTGAGTTCGAGCCATTGCGCTGCAGACAAAAGTATCAAAATCATTTACGTTTTTTTCTCTTTTTAAAATTTGCTGGAATTCTCTTGAATGAACTATTTTGGGAAAATGAAATAATACTTTATCAGAAAATGTGCTTGATTCAGTTGGTTCTGGCTGAAAAAAAAAACATTTTCTCGCGTGGTTTTTTTCCGCGTGAAGCAGTTTTGATCGACTTGGAACTGATTGAACCGATCCGGAACAAGGAAAAGTGACATTGTGGTACTTTTGACGTCGTAAAATCAAAATAAAAAGAGATTAAATTCTGAAAATTATTTTGAGGTCTCTCCATCACTCAAGCTAAACTTTTTAATCAATATCACTTGAATTCGTGGAGTAGTTAAGCCGAAAGCAGCTTGAATGATGTTTGCTATCCGGAACTAGGAAAACGACTGTACCGGGCCTACCAATCCATTCTTTCCGAAAAATGTATAAATGATCAGCATTTCAGAATAGGCCTATCTGGTAGGCAATCCTTGTCCTAGGAGTAGGAAAAACAAAACATTAAGTTACCCCCAACCCCCCCCCCCCCCAAAAAAAAGGAAAAAAAGTTACATCAGTTCACAGATGCTGCAGTGTCAGTGCTAACAATGTAAAGGCACGACATGTAAGGCCGAGAAAAAAAAACAGTTGCTCGTCTGGCCTTTTTTTGTTTAATTAAGGAGGCGGGTGCTTCTTCTTTTTTTTCCCCAAGAAAGCAGATTTTCCAAGATGGCAGATGGATTCTTGAATTTTCTCAACTATTTTGCTGATACAAAAATTTGGCCAAAGGAGCCTCTTTCTATATATAGCTGCAATTTCATTGTAAACAAAAAGACAATATTGACAATATTCAGTATAGGCCTACATGATGCTAAATATATGTATGACATAATTTTTTTTTAAAGGAGGCGCTTGGGAAAAAGGAAAAGACGGGGACGATAAACTGGTTAATTTTTGTACTGGGCCTAAAAGAAACAAAAAATGCTAATGTTGCTGAAAGAAAATCAACCTTTAAAGTAGTAGGCCTAAGTCATGAATCAACAATGTATTAATAAAAAGTACTTGTATACCTGTCATGGTTGAATTAAATTTTTAATAGAACAAGATTACATATGAAAAATTTACAGTTTCTGCACTTTTGGAGCGTATTTTTTTGTAAAAATCTTCCATGAAAAATGAAAACGTGGAAAGCAAATGCCCTGTGGAACAGCTGTCTCAATTCATTATGCAGTGGCATATTTTTTAAACTGGAAAACATTGCTTTGAAGGACTTCTTCAAAAGCCTATTTCTTTCACCGATTTTGACTTTTTGGAAGAAATAGCTTTCAGAGTATCCATGTTCATGTTGTTTTTGAAATTTCTTTGCATCAATAAGTACAAGTGTCAATAGAAATAATATTAATAACCACATTAAAACTACAGATTTACAGAGATAGAATGAAACACTAGACCAAAAAAGAAAGAAAGTAGGCTACAATTAATTTTGAGCCTTTATGTGCAGTGTCATATTCTTTCACTAACTTTCCATACATGTACATGTACGAGCACACTAGATTTTTTCCCCAGAAAAACATTGTAATTAATGGTCAGAAATTTCATTCCTTTAGATGCTAGAACATTTTTACTTCATAGTCAGTGGCATTTCTCTCAGAAAATCCAGTTGAATCCAGAGGAGTATTTCAAGGGGCACAACCCCACAACAGTATTTGAAAGCAGTCAGTGCATTGCTAAAGCCAATATTAAAGGGAAAATACAATATTTGCAAACATCAAAAAACGAAATGATCAAATTATCGCGAAATATTTCACTATATTGTTAGGGAATGACAGTGCAAAGCATCCATTAAAATCGTGGCTCCTGGTAAGCTGACATTTTCAAGAAAACTTGTATTTTTCCAGCGCTGGTCAGCCGACCAGCGTTAGAGAAAACTGGCTTTTTTTCAAAACTGCTCCTCATTTTTCATATTTAGTTATTCTGCATTTACTTTGCAATTGTTTACACACCTGCGAAATGGTACAAGCCTGCTAGACTGATTCTCTGACCTTACAATTCCCCCAGTCTATAAATTGCTCCGTTTAATTTTAAGTGGGGTCAGGGAACCAGACTACAAGAACATGATTGGTTTTCTTGGTTTTTCCATCATCTACAAGCCCAGAACGTGAAACAAGTCAGTTTAACGATTTTTGCTATAACATGCTAATCCTCCAAATCCATTTATTTCTGAAAATTGCAGCAAAAGCAAATGTTGTATATTCCCTTTAAACAACACAAAAGAATCCAATCATGGTTCACATTACTCGCCACCTTCAAATCAGTGTAAATGTGCCTTGATTGTTTTGCTTTGCATTTTCAACTTTCTTCTCACCTTCACATTGTCAACAGATGTCAACAGGAGGTGTGGCCGGCTATATTCGGCAAAGGTCACAGAATCTCTGTTTTCTAAAATGTATTTTGTTTTTATCAATGAATTAATTAAAGGGAAAATACAACATTTGCAAACACCAAAAAATAAAACTACCACATCACTTTGAAATACCTTGCTGGACTGTTAGTGAATGACAGTGTAAAGCATCCTGTAAAAATGGCACCTGGTAAACTGTCATTTTCAAGAAAAGTGGTATTTTTGTATCAATTTTTGTAATCAATATCAATTGGCTTTTTTAAAAATACTGGCACCAATTGACCATCGCACTTGTTTGCAATCGATTATACACCTATGAACGGGTACAAGCCAGCTAGACTGGTTCCCTGACCTTAAAATTCCCCAATGTATGTTAACTGCTCTGTTTCTTCGTATATGGAGTCGGGGAACCAGACTACAGGAGAATGATTGTTTTTCTTGGTTTTTATAGAATTTTCGAACCCAAAACCTCAAAAAAGTCAGTGTAACTATATTTGCTATATATTTCCAACCCCCCAATTCTATCCATTTCTGAAAATTACAGCAAAAGCAAATGATGTATATTCCCTTTAAATCAAGGTTACCATGCCAGACGCTGAACTGCAGAACAACCCACTGGTCATAGAATCAGTGTTATTGTACACTTCAAATTTATGGACAGTCTGTAGACCTGTACGTGTAAGGTACATGTACCATTGTGTTTTTTTTCCCTCGAAAATGTAAAAATGCGAAAGATTTTACGGGCTTGTATATGTTAACAAGAGTACTAAAACATTAAAAAAGGAACATTCGTTTCACCACATATTTCATTTATAATATTAAAGAAACTATGTAGTGAAAACTCGTTCACTTTCAACAATATATAACTTCATTACTAACAAAAAAAACCCAAAATTTTAAACAGAAAGTATTATCACCTACACCTTCAGTCGAGGTTTTGTGGTTAGTTTCTGAGAAACCAAGAAGGGGAAATGTTGTTTTTATTGTAATTGTATCCAGCCAAAAGTGGTCATTAACCTAGAAATGCAAATTACCTACCAGGCAGTACATGGACACAAATCCCCATTCACCCACAAATATTAGCAGTAATAAATTGTGTTCATTCTCTGGGATTGCTTG